CTAGAGGGTAAACTTTCCCTATGTTCTTTCCTATTGCTTTGTGTTTATCAGAAATAATGCTTAGTCCCTCATCATCAGGGATCACACGGTGTAGCTGTCAAAAAAACCACTCTCAAGACTCGTCATTCTCAGTATCAACGACATCGAAAGCTATAGGAAATATATTACAATTTCCATCATGGATTGTTGCGATGAGTAGTGTACCTTTGTATTTCCCATGCAAGAATATCCCATCTACAACAATAACTTTCCTCATATAGGGGAACCCGTGTATGCTTGTCCCAAAAGCGAGGAACAAAAAGTTTAATTGATCATCCTCATCCACTTAAAGCTTTATAAGTGTCCCTGGATTAGCTCGCCTAATCATGTATAGGTACCTGGGAAGTTGTTTGTATCCACTCTTTGAAGTTCCACTTACTAATTATCTTGCATACCGTAAAGCATGATGTGCTTTCCAGTAGTCCACATGTAAGAGATTATAATGAAGGCAACACACCAATTAACACAAAAGTATCTCATACAAAAAATATACCACTGATGAAAACAAAAATCTACCTATGATTAGAACAAATCTACCATAATAAAAACAAATCCATCATAGTGAAAACAAATCTACCCAAAGTGAAAACAAATCTACCATAGTCAAAACAAATCTACCAATAGTGAAAACAAATGTACCTTAATCCAGAATCGTTTAGTCAGAGCATCCGAGACATGACTTGGCAACACAGTCGGTCCAACACCGCCTACAAAGTCTTTATAAAGGCGACCTAGAATCTCGTAAGTTGCATGACGGTTATGGAGCGATCGGACTGTTACAAAACATGTGTGCTTCCGAACATATGTCTTAATGTAGAAAAATAGACTATCACCCACGGTTGAAGCTCGGACACTCCATGTACATGCAGGAACCCAAAACTTCTTCTTCTTCTTCTTCTTCTTCACCCAAAACTTCTTCTTCTTCTTCTTCTTCTTCTTCTTCTTCTTCTTCTTCTTCTTCTTCTTCTTCTTCTTCTTCTTCTTCTTCTTCTTCTTCTTTATCTGAGCTTCCACAGTCAGAGACTTTTCCTTTCTTCCTCTTCGTCTCGTACTCTTCGTCATCTGAGGAAACACCATCCAGATCAACGCACACATCATACCTAGAATTCAAATCATCATCCGAGTCAACTTCATTATCGTTGTTGTCAGCATCGTCATCATCTTCAAATTCATTATCTTATTGATCTTCTTCACCTCCTTCGTCCTCCTCTTCTGCATCGTCTTTTTCGTCTGTCCCGTCTTCTTCAGCTTTTGAATCTTGCATGTGTTGATTATCGTGATTGACAATATCTGCAGTTCTGGCTTCTGATGGGATGAAATCTTGTTTAGACTTCTCTTTAATCTCAATGCATAATCGGACAGGATCTTGCTTCAATTGTGAAAAAAAATCATGCAACTGCCTTTCATTTTCTACAAATACGGGAGGTGTATCTTGTGGTAGTCTCTGCAAAAATTTCTCGGAAAAAGTATAGCTGAAATGTAGTTCTTGAAATCAATTATCAAAACTGAAATCCTCAAACACCATTCCAACCAAATCAACAAACAAGGTTTTAGGATGTACCCTTAGTATCCTGCAACCCTTTGATTTGTCGACGAAAGAGATTCAACAATTCTTGTCAAAAAACAATTTACCACAAACCAAAACGACTTGCTCCATTAAAACCAAAAAATACAAAAATAAGAGAGATCGATGATGAAGGTAGAGGTTTACAGCAAAGCACCCCAGAGTATCTCAGATTTGCCAAATAAATTTCAGAGAAGATGTATCGATGATGGAGATTCGAGTTAGCGAGTCTTCTTGTACGGCAGCAGCAACCCTAAGATAAGATATCCTTCATTTTTTTTAGGGTTGTTGCATAAAAAAATTTAATTACTTTTACCGTTCTCGATAATTCTGCCGTAATAAAATAAAAAATAAAAAAAAAACATAATCTGCTTCATTCATCAAATCTTGACATCTCTACCATTATCAAAAACTCAAACTATTCTTCTTCACGATTCCGGCGACTGAGCACATTATCCCAACCGACCCCGTAAGTTTTCTCGATCCAGTAGTAATTTCTCAACAAATTCTGGTTACTTAGATCTACTTTCCTCTACTCGTCCACTCTTCTAACCCAACACTTTTGGGACCGTCACCTGTAGATTTTGCCGAACAGTAGTATTTTTGAAAGGGCTTCCTGATTTTCTGCAAGGGTTTCCTTAATTATGGAAGGTTTTCTGAAAGGGCTTCCTGATTTTGAGTTGTATAATTTAACAAAAACAAAATCAATTATATGATTTATAAAAGCTTTCCTAAATACATGTAATGGCTTCCTTAATTTATACGTTTTAGGAAAACCTTCCTAGATTTAGGAAATATCTTCATAAATTTACACTTATCTCCTTCCTCATCTCTGCGACACCAAAGCTTAATTTCCGCCGATTTTCTTTTTTTCACCATTGTTGTTTTTTAGGTTGGATTTCTTTCTCTCTACACTCAATTATGTCATATCTAATAATTGAGGTCTTCCAAAACGCTTCTGATGTCTCTTTCGCCTCCTCAACCAGCGACAGTGCCGCAAACCTTCTCCCGATGACGCTACCTCTTCCGACGTCTCTTCCTCCGCCTCTTCCAAGACACTTTCGACGTCTCTTCTTATAGCTCCTCATCCAGTCGTGGACTTTTTTAAATGGCAGTTTGGTTAACTCTGATGAAAAAGGTTATAGAAAGGATTTTTTTAGAATATTAGTGTATATTAGAAACAAAAACTTAAATTAGATGTATTTGAGGGTATTTCTCTGAAAAACCTTGTCATATTAAAATAGATAGATAGATATCCTATTAAAGAGTACTATGGTCTTTTGGTCTTTTGGTCTTTTGGTCTTTGGTTTTTAAGATACAAATGTTTCATTTAAACTCTTTTTTTTTTTGGCATCTCAAATATCCAAGTGCTTAAGATAATATTGATTTTGCATCTAAATGATAGATCCAGATGATGAACTAATAGTGTTTAAAAAAATAATATTTGAGCATTTGCATCTAGATACATCATCTGGTATGAAAAACAAACATGTTCTAATCATTTTTCTAGTGTAAAAAAGAAATAAATTTGTACACAAATGTTGTATATCCAAAGCTTGAGCATTGGTGAAAATATTGAATCATGTCATCAATCACATGATATAAAAAAATTATATGACGATTTCAAATCTTTACCCAGCCCTATTATATGCAAATTGGATAGTGTTTTTTTTTACATCATATTGTCAATATTATATATATATTGTTAATGTTATAGCATAATATTATATAAACACAAATAAAATCAATTATATTATATGATTTTAAAATCATATTAATATAAATAAATAATAATAATTTCACTCCGCACAGTGTGCTAGTTATTACCTAGTTTAAAATTATTTCTAAAAAAAAATAAAAAATTGCAGATTACATTTTCTGTCGAAACAACCAAATCGGATTTTTGGGCTAAAATTGCAAATTCATATTTTTTGTCAAAAAATACGAAATCTACTTTTAATCCATAACCGCTAAAATCTCCAAAATTAGGTTTTCCAATCAAAATCGTAAATTTGCATTTTCCCGCCAAAACTGTGAAATCGCGTTTTTCGCCAAGATCGCAAATTTGTATTTTCCCGCCAAAACCGCAAAATTATGTTTTTTCGCCAAAACTGTAAAATTACGTTTTCCCATCAAAACCATAATATCACGTTTTCCCGCCAAAACTGTAAGATAGTGCTTTACCGCTAAAAACTGTAAAATCACGTTTTCCCATCAATATCGTAAAATTGTGTTTTTTCGTCAAAATCGTAAAATCGTGTATTCTCGCCAAAATCATAAAATTATGTTTTTCATCAAAATCATAAAATTGTGTATTCCCATTAAAACCGTAAAATCGTGTTTTTTTTACCAAAATCGTAAAATCACTTTTTTCCGCAAAACCGAAAAATCATGTTTCTCTCCAAAACCGTAACATAACATTTTTCTACCAAAATCGTAAAATTGCATTTTTCCGCCAAATCATAAAATCACAATTCTCCGTTAAAAAACCAAGAAAATTTTATTTTTCCATCAAAATCCAGAAATTTTGGTTTCTCGTCATAACCGAGAAATTTGTGAAGAAAAATCTATTTAAATGTAAATGGATTTTAATTTATAAATCTATATGACATGCTCTTTTGTATATTTCCCCCTTTTACTAAATCAAATTTTTGAAAACAATATATTTAAATGCAAATTTAGAACCTAATTAATAAATCTATATGAATTTATGTGAGTAAAATCAATTATAAATGTTTAAATAATAATTACGAAATTATTTGGTTAATAAATATATGTTAGATTAAAGAATCTATAACAATAATTGTGATCAGTTGTTTGCCCGTTAAACCATGAACCATCTCTCTTTTATAGCTGCATGCCCGTTAAAGAATCTATAACAATAATTGTGCTCATCTCTGGTCTCATCACTTATCTCACTGGGATAAATTCTTAACTTTGCAGCGTAGTAACGGGATCAGGAGCTGGATACACACTTTATTTGCTGACCCAACTCGCGGTGATACATTCTTGGTTGGAGCAAGGCTTGTTCGGACAACCTAACAAGGACATACTCGCCTGTTGCCTTGGTTTTGCTGCTCTCTATGGAATAGGTTTTATGGTAAATCCCTTTATAATAAGTAGATCATATTGTAAACTGTATTCATAAATCATACAAAAGCATAGAAAATTATATACCGACTACACACCTTCAAGAACCGTGCTATTAAAGCTAGGTCTTGAAAAATTTGTGAAGAATTTCAAGAATGGACTTGTAACAGATTCCGCATTACCTCACCTCACCGATGAGTATGTGCATATATATATATATCTTTGAGCTTTTGTTTATGTAGCAAGTACATTAATGTCTTGTATTGTATCCCCTTTTGTATTCTAACCAGGTCACTAAAAGAAGTGGTCCAATGAATTACAAAATTAAAAACAAAAACGTGTAAAGAAAATAGTTATGCAAATTGTTTGTACAAACAAGAAGGGATCTTTTAGGAAGCCTGAAGAACCCTCTTTTGGTTTTTTAACTGTGCAGTAAAAGAATGAATCAAGCAAAGCCGCTTATCAGTAAAGAATGTTTTTTAGATGAAAAAAAAGAAAGCAAACAGAGTGTGTCTCCTTCAAGATGGAGCTCAAAGTCAATCGTGCTTTTATGGATCACTGCTCTTCGTCAAGCGGCTTATCTCTTCTTCTAGCTGCAACCATTTTAGGAACCCTTTATAAATAAATGGTGATGAAAATCTAATAAAAGAAGACGATGATGATGATGATGATGATGATGATGGATGATGGTATGTGACTGTGACTGTGATTATCTTTACATGTCACATATTTACCTCAGCGTTTGCTTGTTTCTGGTTCTCGACCTCCTCTTTAAGCTTCTCCACACTTTAGCATTTGATACCATTGAATCAATCAACCATATTTTTCTCCAAAATATATTGTTAAGCTTGTAAAGTTATCTCATTACCTCTGCCCCAAAAAGTGAACCTCAGACAATAGATCAGTCTCCGTTGCTATCTGTGAATTTCAGAACTTAAGACTCTAACTTCTTTCCTCACACCAACTTCTCTTTATGTCATTAGCAAAACGAGAAGCAAAACCCAACCTGCTCGCCATCGATTGCATTTCTGTCTGCTGCACAAACCAAAATCATAATCAATGAAACTCGTAAAACAGAGAAGATGCAAAACAAAACAACTCTGCTTACACAAGAGAAAACTAACCAGCAGCAGCTGGATCATACAGTTGAATTAATCCGATTAATCTTGCCTGCCAAGCACACAACACCCAGAAGATGAAAAATTCAAATCCACAACCAACAATTATGAACAAGAAGCGTTTTCAAATATACATACCCTCTGGATTTCATTGTCGTGTAGGAGATTCTGTAGCAAAGGGAGGATTTGAGAAGCATCGCTAGGCAAAGTATTCAAAGGATCCTGAAGACATAAACTCTATCTCACTTCAGAGGGATTGCAATTAAGGACCATACGAAAATTTAATTAAAGAAGACGATAATGATGATAGATGGTATGTGATTGTGACTGTGGCTATTTTTCCATGTCGCATATATACCTCAGCGTTTGCTTTTTTCTGGTTCTCGACCTCCTCTTTAAGCTTCTCCACACTGTAGAATTATGATACCATTGAATCAATCAACCATTTTGTCTCCAAAATATATTCTTAAGCTTGTAAAGTTATCTCATTACCTCTGCTCCAAGAAGTGAACCTCAGACAGTAGATCAGTCTCCGTTGCTATCTGTGAATTTCATAACTTAAAAAGCTCTTACTTCTTTCTTCAAACCAACTTCCTCTTTATGTCATTAGCAAAACGAGAAGCAAAACCCAACCTGCTCGCCATCGATTGCATTTCTGTCTGCTGCACAAACCAAAATCCTAATCAATGAAACTCGTAAAACAGAGAAGATGCAAAACTAAACAACTCTGCTTACACAAGAGAAAACTAACCAGCAGCAGCTGGATCATACAGTTGAATTAATCTTTCCTGCCAAGCACATAAAAACAGAGTAAACACCCAGTAGATGACAATTCAAATCCACAACAACCAACAATTATGAACAAGAAGCGTTTTCAAATGGCAAAATATACACCCTCTGGATTTCATTGTTGAGCAAAGGGAGGATTTGAGCAGCATCGCTAGGCAAAGTATTCATTGTTGAGCAAAGGGAGGATTTGAGCGCTACTCTCTGATGTTGTTTTTGACGTTTGCTAGGTCTTTGCTGTTCCTGGCGTTTTTGTTTTTGGATCTTAGGGGGAAGCTTCTGCCACCCATAGTCTTCAATGTTGACCTAATCATAGACAAAAAAAAACATTAATTAGAAAGCTATCTCATAACCTAAGCAAATAACACTTAAACAATACAAACCTTAAATTTTTCTTTCTCTTTTATTTGTTTCGGATCCTCTTTGTCAAATCGTTTTTCTCTATAGGCCATGTCCACGGAGTAAAAGTCCGAGAGAAGGTGATGTGGGTTGACATGGCAACGATGGAAATTACTATTCTCTTCTGTAGGATTCTTGGCTGCAATCACCATCATCACTTTAAAAGAAACCGCGATGCATCCACTGAATCCCAAGTCCTCTCCGTTACTAGCCTTACACATAATAACGAGTTCATTATCCATCCATCTGATGTCATACATAATGACTGCGTGAACTCCCTCTAACTTAGCGCCATCGTTATATGGGCCACGGTAAATCTTCTCAGCGTCATCCCAACCCTCAAAGCAGTACAACGTCGCTCCAACCGGATGTGTTCGAAGACGAACCAATGCCTCTTCTATTGTATTATATCTATACATGGCACTGATCTTGAAAAGTTCTTCTTCTTCGTACAGAAGGCGAGTATCCTTGCAATCAAAGCTATCCATGCCCTCTTGTTCTCTGGGAACTCCATGTTGCTGAATATAGGCTAATCCCATTTCCATGCTACAGGGAAAGCAGCGATGACCTTCTCGTTCAGTAGTATCTGAATACTCCTTTGCATCAACATACTGAGAAAGATACCAAGTGCATAAAGGTCTATACTCCTCATCCAAACCGTGTAACACTCGTGTTCCACTCACCAGGTCAGTAAGTGCATAAGTCCAACATATATCGTGAGTATCTTGGTCTCGAATACCCCCAATTGCTTCTCTAATCCTATCCCCTCTTCTACTCCCTTCACCTGTTTCGTCTTCTACTAAGCCATCTGGTAACTCTGATGATGTCGAATAATAGACAATCAGATAATCTTCTGAAGCATGTAGTCGCAAAGGAACTCTCTCTTCAATTGAACGATATCTCGGACCCAGACAAATCTCTGCTATTTTACGTGAGATAGATTTCGACACACTCTCTTTCAACTTCCTTCTCAAACCGTCTGGCAGTTTAGCGAGGAGGGTAGACATAATAGGGATATTCATCATCGTTTCGTCTTCCTCTTCAGATTCTGTAGAACTTTCCTCGGCGTGAGAATACCTGCAAAGTGCTCCCTTTCGACAGCGGCCCTTTGCAAAAAACAGACATGGAAGAACCTCTTTGACATTATTATTACTTCTAGCATATCCTCTGCCGCTTCCCAAAACTAGCACTGATGCTTTTCTTCTATAACAAATTTTTTGCGCATTCAGTTTTGTCTTAAGACTTTGGAACATGTCCTGCAACAGCTGCTGCACATTTGGGATTATAGTGCTTCCACCAACAAGGACACTCTCCTCGATCTGGCTCTTCTGCATACCAGCATCATCCAAGGCCTTCCTCACGGGTCCCATGGTCTTCCTTAACAAATCATTGTTCAGCTCCTCAATACGAGCTCTGGTGACTGTCTCAGAGAAATCAACACCAGTATTAACTGTGGCTATTTTTCCATGTCGCATATATACATCAGCGTTTGCTTGTTTCTGGTTCTCGACCTCCTCTTTAAGCTTCTCCACACTGTAGCATTTGATACCATTGAATCAATCAACCATATTTTTCTCCAAAATATATTCTTAAGCTTGTAAAGTTATCTCATTACCTCTGCTCCAAAAAGTGAACCTCAGACAATAGATCAGTCTCCGTTGCTATCTGTGAATTTCAGAACTTAAGACTCTTACTTCTTTCCTCACACCAACTTCCTCTTTATGTCATTAGCAAAACGAGAAGCAAAACCCAACCTGCTCGCCATCGATTGCATTTCTGTCTGCTGCACAAACCAAAATCATAATCAATGAAACTCGTAAAACAGAGAAGATGCAAAACAAAACAACTCTGCTTACACAAGAGAAAACTAACCAGCATACAGTTGAATAAATCCCATTAATCTTTCCTGCCAAGCACACAACAGCCAGAAGATGAAAAATTCAAATCCACAACCAACAATTATGAACAAGAAGCGTTTTCAAATACACATACCCTATGGATTTCATTGTCCTGCAGGAGATTCTGTAGCAAAGGGAGGATTTGAGAAGCATCGCTAGGCAAAGTATTCAAAGGATCCTGAAGAAATAAACTCTATCTCACTTCAGAGGGATTGCAATTAAGGACCATACGAAAATTTATATTTCATCATAATTTTTCTGGTTCTCAACCTCCTCTTTAAGCTTCTCCACACTGTATCATGTTGAAACCATTGAATCAATCAATCATACATAAACACCAAAATATTTATGTTATCTTCTTAAGCTTGTAAAGTTATCTCAATACCTCTGCTCCAAAAAGTGAACCTCAGACAATAGATCAGTCTCCGTTGCTATCTGTGAATTCAGAACTTAAGGCTCATACTTCTTTCCTCACACCAACTTCCTCTTTATGCATATGTCATTAGCAAAATGAGAAGCAAAACTCAACCTGGTCTCCATCGATTGCATTTCTGTTGTATTCTGCACAAACCAAAATCCTAATCAATGAAACTCGTAAAACAGAGAAGATACAGAAAAAAATAACTCTGCTTACACAAAAGAAAACTAACCAGCAGCAGCTGGATCATAGAGTTGAATTAATCCCATTAATCTTTCCTGCCAAGCACACAACACCCAGAAGATGAAAAATTCACAACCAACAATTATGAACAAGAAGCATTTTCAAATGGCAATATATATACCCTTTGGATTTCATTGTTGAGCAGGCGTTTCTTTAGCAAAGGGAGTATCTGAGCAGCATCGCTAGGCAAAGTATTCAAAGGATCCTGAAGAAATAAACTCATTTCTACTTCAGAGGTATTGCAATTAACGACCATACGTAATTTATATTTCATCATAATCTTTTAGATTACCGAGTCTTTTTCTGCATCAAGTGACTCTTCTTCTTCAGAAACAGGACGAACAACAACATCGCCAACATTCTTAGAAAGCTCGTCATCTTTCGCATCCAGGGATGAATTCGTAATTTCACCTAATTCATGCAGAGATTCAATAAAAGACGAGACGATAATCGCAGGAGAGTAATAGTTCTATTCTCCAATCAAAATCTACTTAAACCATACATACAGTAACCGTAATAGTTTCAAATTCCTTAAAATCCAAATTCCCAAGAAACGAAACTCCGAAATCGAACCTTAGTTTTGCGTAATTCATGCAGAAAATCAATAAAAACGAAACTTCCACTACTGATTTTACACAAGACGAGACGATAATCGTACGAGAGTAATAGTTTTCTCCGATCAAAGCTCTAACTCAAATCTTATATACAGTAACCGCAATAACGCACTCAAGTTTCGAATTCCGCAAAATCCAAACTCCCAAGAACTCCGATATCTTTCTAACAAATGTAAACGATACCGGAGAAAAGAATCGTCGCGAGAAATCGAACCTAGGTTTTCCTCAGTTGACGACATTGCGAAACACGGCGAGTCACGATCAGCGATACGCCCCCTGGAGCGGTGAGAGCGCGACGGACGACGCTACTAAAGAGAGAGAGAAGTGGAAGGAAGAAGGCGGAGGAGTGAAAGTCCGTTCACGAATCGCCGTCGAACAGAAGAAACGATCGCTCTCGGACTTTGTGAAAGTGAAAAGATCGGAAAACTACTGAAAATGTTTGTTAGTAGAGAGAGAGCGGACTTGAAAGAAAAGTTTCCGATGATTTTCAACTTCCCTCTAATCGGATTTTAGCGGACTTGAAATCCGAATTTCAATTAGGATTGACGGATTTGCCCTCATATAGTTATGAGTCTTATATAAAACCCGCTTCTTCAATTGAATAATCAAGTGGTCGCTAAATCTGACCGGTTTCGGTTTGGCTTACCAGGATCCTAATTCCTAATTGATTTGGACATTCATTGGTTTAGCTTCATTTCAAGAAAAGGTCTTGAAGCATTTCGAGAAGGACTTTAAAATGGAACTCTCGATCTTCGATTAACTATCCAGGTAATATGTTTCTGTTATCATCTTTTAAAAGACATTATTTGACATTTGTTTCAAAATCTGTTTATGTAAATAGGCTCAAAAACAAGAGTTACCAGAAAAAAAAAAGTGAAAAAAAAGTCTTGTGTTGTCTAAGGCTGAGCAAGATTGACTTCGTTTACCATGGTCAAATCTCAAACCCCTACGCTTTTAATCCCTGAAAAAGAAGAATATTTTGTTTGAACAATCACAAGCATTTAACTTCAAATACATTTATGAAACTGTATTTGTATATATGATCAGCAGGTTACTTGCCAAATTAGATTGCTTAAAAAAATGTGTCAAATCAGATCCAACTTACTGTTTTGGGGTGGTAACTTAAAACTTTAGGTGAATTTTTTTTTTTTTGGTTTGTTTTGACATCTTTACATGAAATGAATTTTAAAGTTCATAATAGATTTAAAAAATGACTTATCAAATTTTTTCTTTAATGGAGAATCCTCCTCTCTTTGGCTAAGCTTGCCCTCACTTGGTACCTCCTCCTGACTGAGTCACTGCCCATGCAAAACCGCTTGCCGTCATTGGGAGGTTAGAGCGTTTGTAGTAATTATGTTTTTGTTGTGGCTAGTGATGCCTCATTTGGCTTGGTCTTATCCTCAAACGTGTCATGCACGTCAAAACTGAAAAAGGAGAATTGAGAGAGAGAGAGAGAGAGAGAGAGAGAGAGAGAGAGAGAGAGAACCTGTCTTAAATGTTCGGTTTCAAGAAAAAGAAACTTGATTTTTCTAGTTTTATATTGGTCTCAATACTCGAACTTGAGGTCTTATAAGAGTAAACCATTATGATTGTATGCTATAAAAAATCAAGTATCATAACAATATTTGCAGAATTTAATTTATAGCATACACCTAAATATCTTCTATGTACAAAACAAACAGATCTCAAAAGGTATAAGACGACCAGAAGGTGGGGCTACTAAGTACTAAAGCTTATTAAAGTTGTACAATGATAATTGTTGGTCAAGTGACAAGTTCATTACATTAAAGGGTCTTCTTCATTCAAAAGAGACTTTAGTTTTATACGATTTCAGCAGCAGAAAAGAAATGTATATTTATTCATGCATTTTTCCTCTTTTATTAAAGCTTAAAACATTTGATAGTTTATATATCTATAGAGAGGGACATCAATAGAACTACCACTACATTATACATTCGTTTCTGAAAGTACAAGAACACACCTGAATTAAACTTTAGCGAACATATATAGAGCACAATGGTTGTCATGATTGAAATTAAATTTATAACAAGATCGTTCAAAACAAAAGAAGCTAAAAGAAATTATCACCTGAAAATGACTAACTGAGGAACATCTACTAAAAACCTTCCCCGCCTCCGAATCCGATCAACACGATGGACCCAACCCACAAATCCGACCCGGTTTACGATATCGTCATACTGGGAGCATCCGGATTTACCGGAAAATACGTCGTCCGAGAAGCTCTCAAGTTCCTCCAGACTTATGGGATGATGCAATATAAGTTTGAAATGCATGATTGTTGAAATTTAAGGTTTGTTTTAGTGGTAATTAAGATCAAGCTTCTAGCTTTTTGTTATCTCGAGATCTTTGAGAAACGCAAAGATTATGTTCACTTTTTTTTAAATGTTATCAAATTTAAGGAATGGCTAAAGTTATAGCTTTTATGAAAAAAGTTTAATAAATTATTATATCTAACATATATAAACTTATTAAACAGGAAGGGTTTATATGTCATTATCTCAAAATTTTGAATTTTTTAAATTTTAAAGTGATTAAAAATTTAAATATGTTATTCTTCCAACCAAACACAATTTTATTGCAATCAAACAAAAAATTTCTCTAATTATTTATTTTTTAATTGCATTTAATATTTTAAAATTTTGTAATTATATTTAAGTTTTTGTATATAATTTAAACAATTCAATTTAAATAAACATGACATAAATTTAAGTGAATCTTTGTTTTTTAAAAAAGTATCTATTATATATTAAACAGAAAATATTATAGGTTAACATGTCATTATTTTAATTATATATATTTTAACTGATGTGTTTTACACCATAATTATTTTTAATATTTTTGTTTACATCATTTTTAAGATTAAAAAAATTCAAAATTCTGAAATAATGAAACATAAACCACCAATACTTCATGTTTCATGTTTAATATATGTTAGATTAGATTAAAAATTCTAACAAAACACTTTAAAATCAATTATCTTTAAATTCTTACGCATAGTTTTTAATTTAATCATCCCATCTCTCATCTAATACCCAATAAGTCATCCCGGTTCGGTTTTATTACACAAAACAGAGATAAACCGAACCATGTGATCAAAAGTAAAGTTCAGTACTTTATGTTATCAAATTTAAGGAATGGCTAAAGTTATAGCTTTGATGAAAAAAGTTTAATAAAATATTATATCTAACATATACTTATTAAATATTAAGTATTATAAGCTTATGTGTCATTATCTCAAAAATTTAATTTTTTAAAATTTTAAAATGGTTAAAAACTTAAATACTTTATTTTTGCAACCAAACACAATCTTTCTTGCAACCAAATAAAAACTTCTCTAATTATTTATTTTTTAATTGCATTTAATGTTTTAAAAATCTGCAATTAATATTTAAGATTTTTTGTATATAATTTAAACAATTCAATCAATACAACAATAACACATATGTCTCTCCTACTGATGACACCTCAGCTTTTTAAAGTTTTATAAACATGACACCTCAGCAAAAATAATCATCAATCAAAATATTTTATTAATACAACTCATCTACTTATTTTAACTTTTAAATTTAAACCCATTAAAAATCCAATAACTAAACTATTAATCTTTGTTTTGTTTTCTACCAAACCTAAGCCCAAATAATAATCAATACTAAATAAAAAAAAATATTTTATTTTTTTATCAAACATAAGCTCAAATAATAAATGACAGTAAATAAAATAATTAAATCTTTATTTTATTTTTTTGTCAAACGTAAATTCAAATAATAAATAACAGCAAATAAACAAAAAAAATTCTAACTATCTGTTTGTTCGACAGAGGCCTATATGATTGAAAAAAAGTGTAGGCAAAGATGGGAAAATATTTAGTGTATTTTTCAATTATCTTACTATATTGAAAAATTCAGAAATATATATTTAGTGTATTTTTTAATTTATTTTTACCTTTATCTATTTTTCAATTATTTTGTTGTTTCCCATCATGACAGAAAAAATACAATTTCTCGGAAATATTTTTTTTTCTCAATTTTGATGGAAAACAGAATATTTGAGTTTTGACAGGAAATGCGAATTCTCGATTTTGATGGACACACGATTTTCTGTTTTTGATAGATAATTTGATTTCTTGGTTAATACAGTTTTACAGTTTTTTTGGAAAAATGCAATTTGACAATTTTGACGAAAAATGCAATTTCTCAGTTTTATTAGGAAAATATGATTTCTCGGTTCGACGAGAAAACATTTTTTCTTGGCTTTGGCGGTAATAGGGAATTTCTCTGTTTTGCCGGGAATAGGAGATTTCTTGGTTTCGGTAGTAAAATGTGATTTTCAGTTTTGGTAGAAAAACATAATTTCTCGGTTATGGCAGAAAAAAGCAAATTCTTTGGTTTGGCGGAAAATGTGAATTTCTTATTTTTGTGAGATTTTTTTTTTTTTTTTTTTTTTTGCTGAGGAAACAAAATATCTTAGTTTTGAGTGAAAAATACGATTTTTCGGTTTTGATGGGAAATGCAACTTTTCAATTTTAACGAAAAATATGATTTTTTAGTTTTGATAGGAAATACAATTTTTTTTGCTTTTGGCCGGGAGAGAACGCCACAAGGATGTGGCGATACCAATGTCTATTATAATGAGGATGTATAATCTGATTTCTTGGTTTTCGCGTGAAAATATAATTTCTTAGTTTTCGCGAGAAATTGCAATTTGATGATTTTGGTGAAAAATGTAATTTCTCGGTTTGATGGAAAAACAAAATTTTTCAGTTTTGGCGGAATAAGATATTTCTCGGTTTTATGGAAAATGCAAATTTTTAGATTTTTACGAATAATGTGATTTTTTGGTTTCACATGATGTAATTTCTTAGTTTTCACAGGAAACCGCAATTTTTCGGGAGATAATGCAATTTTTGAATTTTGCAGTAAATTGTAGTTTATTTGTTTTGGTAAGCGTGATTCTTGGTTTGACGGAAAATTGTAGTTCTAAAGCAATAACAATTGTTTTGATATGAATGTTATTGATTATAATTTGGTAGTTTTAGAAACATATGTTTATAATAAATATTTGATATAAATAAATTTTATAATTAAAAATAATCATATTAGTTAATAAATCTTTGTTTTAATTAGCATTTTGCTTTATGTAAATACAAAGGAGGATCAAATGACAATTTATTGAAGAAAACAGATTATATTTACCATTAGCATGAAGGTACTTAAATATATACTGCTTTATAATTACATATACATTTACAGTTAGTTAGCTAAAAAAATTTGATAATAGATTATAATTTTGAAAAATAAAAAAAAATTAAGGATATACAATGTTTATTCAGATTTAAAACATATAAATGTATAACATAAGCTAATAAAAAATAAATATAAAACTCATTTTATTATAAAAATAATTTTGTAATATTAAAAATATATACAAAATTTAGAAAAATATCCTGCAGCGGTAAATACCTAGTTTAAATAAATATGACAGAAAATCTAAGTGAATTTTTGTTTTTATAACGTTATCTACTATATACTAAACAGTAGGTTAACATGTCATTATTTTAATTATATATATTTTAACTGCTGTGTTTACACCATAATTATTCTTAATATATTTGTTTACATCATTTTTAAGATTAAAAAGATTCAAAATTCTGAGATAATTACACATAAACCATTACTTCATGTTTCATGTTTAATATATGTTAAATTTATACTATAAAAGATGACTAACTCTCTCCATATGAGTGACACCTCATCATTTTGGTTTATTGTAAAAATGACATGTGTCCTTTTTTAAATTTAATGATATAAATTATATAAAATACAATTAATGCATAAATTTAATGGATTATTAATTATGATACCAAAATAATATGAAAAATATGAAGTATTAGATAATATATATTAATAACAATATATACTTAATATCCAAAAATAATTATTAAATATCTATTTTATGGTAGTTTGTAAAATTTATTAAAAATATTAATGCTTCTTATTTAAGAGCGTTTTCTTATTTTTAATTAATATCATAAGTTATTATTATAAAAATAATTATACAAATATAAAAATAAAAATGATTTGCTATTTTAAACCTAAAAAAGTTAGACGAAAAATGTATACAATATTATAATAAATTTTAAAACAATTTCTTTATAAACTAATAAATATTTGATAATTTATTTTATTCAAACTTGATCTATTAATAATTTTTTAATAAGATATCAAAGTCCTAATATAATTATTTATAAATTTTTAATGCAATTATAAATCAATTATTTAAGCTCATACAAATATAAAACGACGACGTTTCTATTGTGTAAATCTGCACCGTGAAAAAATACTATTTGTTAAAAAGAGTCGTCTCTACCTATGTTGTGCTTGAAAAGTTTCTCTGATTAATTTTTGTTATATAGTACTTCTCTGATTTGCAGTATATCTATTTAATATATTATATATATACAACATATAACATATTTTATATTTCCTTATTAATAAACCATTTATCACATATATAGTTAATAACCACATAATATGTAATTATATATTGTATTCAAATACACAACATCCTTAAAAATAAATTAAATATATAATAAAATAAATTGTAATTAAACTTTTTAACAAATTATATTGTGAAAAAAGATCCGCGCATCGCGCAGATACTCTAGTTAGTTTAAATTCTAACAAAACACTTTAAAATCAATTACCTTTAAATTCTTAAGCATCATTTTTAATTCAATCATCCCATCTCTCATCTCATACCCAATAAGTCGTCCCGGTTCGGTTTTATTACACAAAACAGAGATAAACCGAACCATGGGATCAAAAGTAAGGTTCAGTACTTTTTAATAACCCCACAACTTTCTCTCTCTAGAATCTAAGGAGAAGGAGAAAGTAAACTATTCAATGCGCTTTTGATTCTGCGACGAACGCGGAAGGCGAAGAGAAGAAGAAAAGCCCCCACCTTCGTAAAGAACCCAAAAACCGGAGACACGAAACCCCCCCCCCCCAGTAAAAACCACCGACACATATTAGCAAATTCTGCAGCTTTTTTCTATATCAATTATCTGATTCTACATTGTTAAAATCATTGTCTTGCAAAAAGTGTTTCGCTTTTCTGTTGGATTCACTTCTTCAACAGGTGAATAATTTCTCTGCTTTTTAACCATTCTGCTACGAATACAAAATGATTTCTCCACTGAATTTTCTGATCGTGCAAGCTTTAATCGGTAATGCCAATATATTCTTACAATTAGCATTAATCGGTAATGCCAATATGTTCTTACAGTTTTAGGGTTAAGTAAGAAAATGGGTTTCCTTCGAATCGGGTTTCTAGTATTTTACACGATTCGATTTTCAATAGAAAACGTAAAAATTGGATCTTTTATGCTTTATTTTTTTGGGTTGTTGGCTTTTTCTCAGAAAAGTGAATGCTTCAAGATGAAACTTTGCTCTAAAAATGCGATTCATTTGATTATTTATGATTAGATGATCATTCAAGCTATGTTGCTTTGTCTCTGTCTCATGACATTGTTTGCTTATTAATATTCTCTATATTTTACAGATAAACTTATTCCATCTGGTTTTCTTCGTGCTTTTGTTTATCAGATTTGTTCTTTTGATAGCCAAGATCCAAGCTGCTTAGCTAAATTTGAAATCTTTCGATAGGTATGCACTATTTTCCCTCTAATGCAAAGAGGTTATTATATGTTACAGAAAAGAGTTTATTTTGGCATTTTGTGGTTGATAATGCTGTTGCTGGCTCGTTATCTTAATGACATTTCCTATTTTTAGCCCATTTTATTGTATGGCTCAAGTTTGTTTTTACAAGTTTCTGTTAGGGGTTTTGTGTTTAATCTCTTCACTGATCTGTTTATGGTTGTCGTGTCTAATCTGTAACTGCTATATTGAGCAGAAACTCTTGCAAGAAGTAAGTTATACAAAATTCTGGTGACAAAAGAGAACCTTTTTGTTGTTTGTTTATATATATGACTTGATATGAAGTAGTGATTGTGGTTGATTTGGTGTCTTCTGTCTGATTATATGAATAGGTTGTCTCTTGCTGGTGTTAATTGATGGATGAAGATGCTGTGAGTAGCTTTGGGACGCCTGAAACGATGAACAAGGAAGACGGTTATAAACCAAAGTCTAAAGAGAAAGAGATTCCTCGTTACCTCAGAGCATCCACTGGTTCGTGCCATGATATTTGCAAGTACGGGAAGAAACAGATACTGGTGGAGAAACCATGGCGTTCGACTGCTAAAAAGACCTTCAAGAAAGCTCTTGATGATGATTTGAGTGAATCTGTGAAGCCTGGTTCTTCTAAAACGAAGAAGGCTATGGAAGTTAAGAAAAAGAATGAGTCTTCTGAGATGATCAAAAGAGAGGTTGTGAAATCTCAAGTGAGTGGTGTCTCTAGTGGGATGAAGAAGCCAGAGGTATTGATAATACCATCCGAGGATGAAACTCCGGTGAAGCAGGTAAAGAAGAAGGTGACGTCAAGCTCCAAGCTTAGACCTTCACCAGATTCGGTATCTCGCAGTGTTGATGCTCTGAAGCCGAAAGCCTTAACGAAATCTTCTTCAGCTCTAGCAACATCGAAATCTAAAGTAAACCAGGAGAAAGTTGCTTCTTCGCCAGTTCTTAAGCCCAAAATGGGATCAAAAGGTGGAGGAAAGGAAGAAGATGCAAAGATGAAGAAGGCTACAGTCTCCTCCAGAGTTGCTTTAAAGAAAGTTCCGGTGACTCCAAAAGCCTCGCTTTCTCCAAGATTTTCACTAAGACTAGCCGGAAATTCAAGTTTGAAGAAGAGCCAGAACTTAAAGGCTGCCTCTTCTCGACCAAATCAGAAATTAAGAAATGTGAATCGCATTGATGAATCTGAGCAGTTAGATGGAACTTATCCAGTCGAGGAGAAAACATTGCACGTTGTGGAAATGGAAACAAAGAGCAAAGTCGTCTCTGAACATGATCAGAATCAGCAGTGCGTTGTTGAACCTCTTCCTCCTCTTCAATCAACTCAAAAAGATGATGAGTGTACTGTTTCAGAAACAGAGGATTTTGAATACCATTCAGGAAGCAACGAAGCTGAGAGCGCAGATGAAGAGACTCGAATGTTCAGTGGAAGAGCCAAAAAGGATACAGATTCTGCAGAAGAAGCTGCTCGGAGATTACAATTCAGGAGAGGAACTGTTGTGGATGCTGATGATGCGGGTGAGAGTGCAAGGAAGCTCAAGTTTAGAAAAGGAAGAGGTCTCGGAGAAGACAAAGCGCAAGACGCACAAGTAAGGAGAAGCTTCAAGAAGAGAGAAGATGTACAAGAAGAAGAGGTAGATGATGATGGTGAGAAAGTTGTGTTGAGGCATCAAGATGTTCAGGAGAAAGATGCACAGGGACTGTTCAACAATGTCATTGAAGAAACAGCGAGTAAACTTGTTGAAGCTCGAAAAAGCAAAGTTAAAGCTTTGGTTGGTGCTTTCGAAACCGTCATCTCTCTTCAAGAATCGAAACCTCCTGCTAACTCTGGTATGTGCCTTGGCCATGAGCAAAGCTATATATTTCGATGAAACTTTTGATTTTTTAGTAATTGATTTGGTTTTGGTTTTGGTTTTGTTTGCAGAAACTGGTAGCCCGGTTTAAAATCGTTTCGGTTCAAGAAGATTGATGGCGTCATATACAGTTTAAGGATATGTCTCAGCATCGATATGGTGCTTTTGTGAATAATACTGATGAATTGGGTTTTGTGTTTGGTTTTGCTTCTTTTAAACCGGTTTGTTGGATTTCATTTGGATGTGTTCGGTTTATTTAGGAAAAGACTGGTCTGCTTTAGAAACATTTGTTGTTGGTTTTTGTCTTCTTCTATGCTCTCTTTATAGGGTTTTACCGGATAGTAAACCTCATTTTTTCTGGGTTTGCAATAGCACCGGTCCTTATTGGTTAATGAACAAATTGACGATCAACCGGATATTAAACCGTATTTACGGCTTTACCAACTGATTTGTTTTCTAAAACAATTTCTAAATCAAAGAACAAAACTAACTCAATTTAAATTAAAAGGCCAAAGAACAAAACGGTCTCTTAATCGATTTAACTGAATTTAACCTAAAAGGTCAAGAGCTTTGGTTAATTTCGATAAAAAAAATATATTTGAACTACTAAATTCTTGAACTGAAGTTATATATAAAAAAAAAATATTAAAAACATCATCAAGCAGAGAAACCCTTCAAATACATAGAAAAGTAAAGAGAAAAAATGTCATTTAAATGCTGAACTTTCAAATTTCAGCTAATCTAAGTATCATCTTTTATATGATTCATTTAAATAACAAATGACTGATGTTAAAATCATAAATTTATGTTGACTCGGCCATTTTAGGCACGCCGTTAACATCACTAACAGATTGACTAAACGCCGTTTGGTCAACGTTTGTTAGTGAATTCAATGTCATGCTTAATATGGCCAGTCAACATAAGTTTGTGATTTAAAAGATAATCAATATAAAAGTTGTGATTTAAACTGTCCATGCAGAACTTAATGCTTATAATGGCCGAAATTTAAAAGTTTGGCATTTAAATGACATTTTCCTCTTTTTCTACTAACTAAACTTCAATTTTATCAGTTTACATAACTACAAAATCAAGTCAATCCAAACTAATTAAAAAATATATTTAAATGTAAATTAAATTTACATTACACCAAAATAACAAAAAATGAAAAGATTGAGTCTAATTTTAAAAAATCAATTTAACCACATCTAAGGACTTTCTAAGAATGCAAATCTTACGAAAGATTGTGATACATAAATGACTTGTTGAGTGCAATCTATAAATTAGGGAAGACTATTGACTAATTACGTGTGACTAATGTCTCCATTATTACAATAACTTTCATATTTAGTTATTCACATAACTGAACTATAAAAAAAGATTTGCTTTGTGTAGTGTGTATATTTCATACTTTTTTTCTTTTTTCTTTTCCAAAGATGCCAACAAAAAAAAACTTGTTCTACTTTGTTAGCACTATTATAATATGAAATTAATTTGGTTTACGTTTAGTATATAGAAAATCCATAAAACAGTGATCATTTATCGCTTATGATCACAATTTTACTGAAAGATTCGAGTTTCAAGTTATGGGAGAGAACTGTAGTAATCTTACCATCTTGAACTATTTGGGTTTTGTTTAGAAAATCACATTGTTAAGTGAATCATGTGTTATCTCAAACAACCTCAATAGGTTAAATTTAAGCTGCTTTTTCATCAGCTTTATTGCTAATTACAAATTTCAAAAACCTTAAGATTCTTAATCTTTCGCATTGTATAATCTTAAGTTTGAGATGTTTTTTTCAATTGAAATAAAAGTTACTGTTTTGTAAAAAAAATGTTATTTAAATGCCAAACTTTTAAATTTCAGCCATTATAAGCATTAAGTTTTGCATGGACAGTTTAAATCACAAATTTTTATATTGATTATCTTTTAAATCACAAACTTATGTTAATTGGTCAATGTGGCCATATTAGGCATGACATTGAATTCACTAACAAACGTTGACCAAACAGCGTGTCTAAAATGGCCGAGTCAACATAAATTTGTGATTTTAACATTAGTCAACGAAAAATTTGTTATTCAAATTAATCACACAAAATATGATATTTAAATTGACTGAAATTTGAAAGTTCAATATTTAAATAGCTTTTTTCCAATAGTAAAAACTAAAAAGGCAAAAGTATCAAAAACTAACGGACGTTATTTTCTCCAAACGACCGACCACTAGTCCTAAGCCACGCAAAGTGACGACACTGGCATTCGTCCACATGTCTGATATTAACTCGACCTTGGTTTAGTTACGTAACCCGACTTCTTTAAATTGTCTGTTTCAGAAGATATTTTTCACGTTTTCCCTTTTTTTTTTAATTGTTAACCTTTTCCACTTCAACAACAGCTATTAATGGAGTCAAACAAAACAAAAGTAGAAGAAGTTAATTAACTTTCCACCATTTATTAATAAAAACAATGTAATTATCAAAACGCGCCGTTGCCGTTAACGGAGTCACTCACCAACTCAAACCTCTCCTCCATTCCAATCAAACGGAATAGCCACACCGCACACCTTACCGTACCTTAGTACACCCCAAGAGTATTTTCCCACTTACATAGAAAACAATCAGAAAAAAATGAAAATTAGGAAATAAAACAAAGCAGATTTGCTTCTTCTCGAGCCTTTTCTTTGCATGCGTTTCCTCATCTTCTTCATTCTTTAAGCAAAGTTTATAAATTTTCTCTCTGGGTATTGTTGGAATTAGCTGAGTTAGTTGAAATGTTGAACCTTTTCTATTTTTCTTTCTGTTTCTTGGTGAGATTTGTCGCTCTTGCTCGAGCAAAACCCTAAATTAGTATATCCTCGATTCTACTAAAAAAACTGGCACTTTATAGGTTACTGAAGCTCTTGGTGCTTTGGGAAAAGATTAGATTGGTGTAATCTAAGGTGAGATGTTGCTTATTAGATTCTTTCGCATTGTGGGATTTTTCCTTCCTTTCCCTTGGAAAATCTACTTCAGGAATAGAAAAATTTGATGTTGTTTAATCTTCATTGAGCTAGATTCTTCAATGTTTTGTAGTGATGAATATATGGATCTTGGTATCTTGATTTTAGTTTGTGGGAATCTTTAAAGGTCCAATTTTTACTTATTTAGGTTGACCAAGAAAACGAATTCGATTTCTCAAAGATAGCATCTTTGATCTCTGGGTCATGAAATTTGGTCAATTCAACAATTTAGTTGGAAGAGTTTTGCTTTATTTAATGCAATTTGTTCAATGAAACTTATCTTGCGGCTATGTAGATTGTGTCTAATTAACGGTATTTTGATTTTGGTTTGTGGGAATCTTTAAAGCTCCAATTTTTACTTGTTTAGGTTCAAAAACGAATTTGGTTTCTCAAGATTGCATAGCTCTTTATATATATAAAGAATGCATCTTTGATTTGGGTTTAGTTTATATATTCTTATCAATCTCTAATCTCTGGTTCATGATTTTGGTCAGTTCACCAATTTGGTTTAAAGTGTTTTGCTTTACTTAATGCATTTGTTCAATGAAACTTTTTCTTGTGGTTATGTAGATTTAGATTGTGGCTAAAAGATGGGCTAACTAACGTTTTTCGATTTTCTTCTTTTTGCTAGGATGATAATAGCAAAACAATACCGTTGCATTCACTCAGCGACTTGTCATTGCACGAAAGGACATATCAGCGAAGAAGTGTTGTTCCTTATGGTTCAGCATCTGAACTGGAATCCTAACGTGATCGCGACTCTATCTTGCGTCTGTAAATGGTTCGATGATCTAGCCAAACGGATACTGTGGAAAGAGTTCTGCAGAGCCAGAGCACCGAAGATGATGTGTGACCTTCAGTCTAGTGGTAGCCACAGTGTTGATGGGAGCTGGAGAGCACTTGGGAAGCTTCTGATCTTCTGCTCTGGTTCGAGCAAAGGCGGGCTCTTCAACGATGTTCAGATCCCGGGTCATTTCGTTCACAGAACACGGTTCTCGAGAACCTCGGGGAGAAGCTTTCTTCCTCCACAGTGCCGGAACGATGACATTCTCTATGTCTCTGATCCTTGTGAGCATCTGGATCAAGGAGAAGTCGGAGATTTAGGGTTCTTCCGAGGGTTTTTCAAGTCGTTTTCGATGTCGAAGGTGAGGAAGCTGCTTATTAGGAAAGGGACATCGTTTCATCCCACAGAGGTTTGTCCTTATTGCAAGGCTAAGCTTTGGAGTATGCTTCAGGCGAAGATGATACCACAGAGTGCTAGCTGTAGATTGGGTGCTTATGAAGATAGCATTGAGTATTATGTTTGTCTCAATGGACATATGCTTGGAGTTTGCACTCTCTTACCGTTGTCCGATTCTGAAGGAGCATCTGAATTTCAGTGAGTGACTACACAAGTTTCCCTTTACAGAAGTTAATGATTGTAGCCTCTCTGTTTCTTTCTGGCTGGTGAATTGTTGTTAGCTGGACTTTGGGATCATCACTTTGCATAGAGTTGGTGTGAAGTTGTAAAGAGAGCTAGCAATTTCAGATTTCACATATTCTCTCAAATCTATCATTGTTGTTACAGTGCATGTATATGTATGAAACATCATTTATTTCTGCTAAAATTTATGATCATTTGACCCAAATAACGTTGAAATCTCTTCTCGGAATGTCTTCCCCAAACCTAAACCCTGAGAAAGAAGAAGTCAGCCTGTGAAATACAAGACGCAAGGAAAGTGAGGATGTAACAACACTAACTTATCTTGTGAATGTTTGTGTGGCTTTTTAGTTCGAAGTTGGATTTGCTAAGATTTGAACTACTTCTAGTTGAAATTGAACAACACTGAATCGCCATGCTTAGATTGCTAGGCAAAACTTTACTCAAGAGACAATGTATTCGTTTGAGACATACTTAGGATCAAAAACGCAAAGGAATAAAAGAGATAACACATAGCACATAGGTGAAGTAAGAACATCTTTTTCATTAGAACCAGAGTCAAAAACATTAATACCAGAGGTTGATTACAAACCGTACATTATTTCTTAACAGAAGAACCCTAATTAACAAATTTTACTACATACACATATGAAAGACAGAGAGATTCAAATTTGTAAATTCTGAAAGAGATTCTCGACTTGTTTCCTTGCTTTCTTTGCCTTGGCTTTAGCCTTCTTTGCTTGACGTTTCGCATCAAACATCTCCACCTTCTTCTTCAAAAGCTTACTCTTGACGAAATCACGGCGTCCAAATTCAAATCTCCCGAATTGTTTGAACCGTTGATAGCGAAGCTCGGACACAAACTCAGAGATGTTCCTACCAAACTCTGTGGATTTCGGAAGAATCCTAGTGCGAAACGCTCCTAGATCCCATAAGACGAAACTATCGTTGGTTTGGCTCCACGAGACGATTGAATCCGACGAAGGATCATCCACAATCTGATACAATCTGACGAAAAACGAATTCAATCCCGATTGGAAACTTTGAACCATCTTTAAAACCCTAACAAAAGCACTTTCGAATCAGAGAAAATTAAGAAATCTGAAATTTGTTTTGTTGTAACTGTAAGTACTGAGCAAAGGAACGAAGAACTCTGAATGCGGCAACAGAGGGGTGATATATTTATAGATTAGCTGCAGAATACAATTGACGGTCAAGATTAAACCTACAATGTTTCCTTTTTGTATTGACGGTCAAGATTAACCCTACAAAGTTTCCTTTTTCCTTTTTTTCTATTGAGATTTCCTTTTTTCCAATAAATCAATTAACGGTCACGATATCATCAGATGAATTTTCAGCGGTCAATATTAAAAGTTTAAAACTACAGAATCCGTGTCACATGACAACTGACACTTATTGTTGTTTCTATTAAAAAAGTCGTTATTAAAATTGTGATGAGAATATTACAAAAAGAGTATTTTCTCTTCACAAAATCAAAGAGAAATACTCTATTTGGGCAAAGTGCATTTTCTTATTATCAGTTTTTAAAAAATTGCATTTTTTTCTGTAAATGTCTCTATTGTGATAGTATAAGAGAACGTTTCATTTTTTTAAAATGTAATCTTCAGAAGATGTATATAGATATTGCTTCATCGTCTTCTCCTTCTCTTCCACCATTGCCCTTAACCAGACATCATATTTACACTTCAATACCCTTCTTCACCATTTCTCAATCAACACAACGCAATCTCATCTTCACAGTCTCTGCTTCTTCCTCATCTTCATCATCACAATCTACACACCAAAAAAAAAAGCGTACGGAGAAAACAGCCGGAGAACTCGACATCGTTGAGGAAGCATCGGAGGTACGAAAGATCTGCTCATCTCGATCACAAGGTCGACATGGACGAGCTTCTAGCTTCAAATCACCAGACCCGCAAAAGAAAACCGAATATAAAAAATGTTTTCGAGAAAAACCGAATATCGGAGACAAAATGATCTCTTTCTGTAACTCAATAAAACGCTCGTAGTGTGATGGTGATATGCGATTTTTGAATCTCAAGATGCAACCGATAATAAACCCCTTCGTAACACTTGAAACAGAATCTGTGAACTGAGGAATAATGAGAGTCACGACTTTCTTTTAAAGCCAGAAGATAACGGTTTGACGATCCGCGAATGTCTGCAGAAAGTGGCACGTGTGCTCGTTACGCAAAGAGGGGAAGTGGGCGGAAGTTGAGGAAAATCTTTTTACTCGGTTGAGAAAATCTTTTCAACTTTGAACCGCATAATATTCTTATTGGATCTAATTTAATTTCGTTTAAGTATTGGACTTTAAAACAGAAATCAAAATTTGGCCCAAAAACAAATAACCACTTTCGGTCCATTCAACCAACACGGCCAGTGCCTGGCATGGCTTGGCGGCTGCGCGCATGGTTTGGTCCAACCTCTCACATGCACACCATAAATGTTAGCCATTTTGAACTATGCTAATCTTCTTTATATAGTAGAGTGTTTTCCTCCATATTTTCGATGTGAGATAATACATCTTTGTTCACATTATTTTTTTTCTGAGCTAATTTCTTTTTAATTTTTACCAATATTTTCTAAAGCTCAGTGGATTTCAAAATTTGGGCCCAACACCCCGAACGAAGAAGAGCTTTTTGCTCTGCTTTCTTCTTACAAAGACAGACAATTGTCTATACGGTTTATGGTTTCGCTTCTTTCCCGTGAAAATGACTGGCAGAGATCACTCGCATTGCTCGATTGGGTTAATGAGGAAGCTGAATACACTCCTTCTGAGCGTGTTTAGAGTTAAGCAATTCGACATTGCACACGGACTGTTCGACGAAATGCGTCAGAGAGCTCTTGCGCCTGATAGGTTCACTTATTCGACGCTAATTACATCGTTTGGCAAAGAGCTATGTTCGATTCGGCTCTTTCTTGGCTTCAGAAGATGGAGCAAGATCGTGTTTCAGGTGATCTTGTCTTATACAGCAACCTCATCGAGCTTTGAGCTTTCTAGGAGGCTGTGTGATTACTCATATGGGGAAATTAGACCGAGCAGCGATCAAGTTCTGTATCAAACAATGATTGTGGCTTATGAAAGAGTTGGTCTAATGGGTCATGCTAAGCGTCTGCTTCAAGAACTAAAGCGTCCTGATAACTTCACCATTCTTGCGAAAGCCGGGAGAGTCGAAGAGGCCAAATGGGTTTTCCGGCAAGCTTTTGATTCATGGGATATTAAAGACATATCTGTGTTTGGCTGTGTGATCAAATCTTTACTCAAGAAACCAGAGGTACGTCAATGTCATTGAAGTGTTTGAGAAGATGAGAAGCTCTGGCTATTTTCCGAATTCAAACGCGATAGCTATAGTGTTGAACGCGTACGGGAAGCAAACAGAGTTTGAGAAAGCGGATACGGTTTACAGAGAGAGGCAAGAGGAAGGATGTGTTTTCCCTGAAGAAGTTCATTTTCAGATGCTGAGTTTATACTCTTCGAAGACAAGTTTTGAATCTTTGTTTGAGAGATTGGAATCTGATGCTAATGTGAATAGCAAGGAGTTGCATCTTGTTGTGGCGGCTTTGTATGAGAGAGCAGATAAACTCAACGATGCTTCAAGAGTCATGAATCGAACGAGAGAACGAGGAATCCTAAAGCCGTTTTCTGGATGAAACATGTCATATGTAATATGATTTGATTCTTCATGTCCTATCTGTATGTTCATTGGATGGAAAGCGTAAGAGGACAAAGTTTAGATTTTTTGTTTTTTCTGTATCTTTTGTTTCATATAGTAAATGCTCAGACTTTGGAGTTGTTCTTCTTTTGGTTTCTTTCAGATCACAAAGAGCAAAACCGGTAATTATAGATCTGATGTTTTTTTGGGTTACACGAAGCATTCCAACAGCAATCAAGCTCTTCACAGGTGCTTGATCCCTTTAAAACCGGAATCTGATGTTCGTGATGTTCGGAGTTGGATTTGCTAAGATTTGATCTACTTCTAGTTGAAATTGAACAACATTGAATCGTCATGCTTAGATTGATAGGCAAAACTTTCTCATCTCTGAGTAATTTCCAGACTTTATGCTCATGTATTCTTGTTTGTAGATACCAAAAGCTTTGTTGGGACGAAGGCCGCTTCTAATGGTAAAATTTTGCTATCTTTTTTTGCTCAAATGTGAAATGAAGCAAACAAATTTAGACATCTAACAAATAAATAATCTTTAATTACAGGCTTCTACTAGTGGAATGTACTTTTTCAGCTTGCTCCTTGCATTTTCCTTCAGCTTGAGACAATCCGTTTTCTCAAGATAAGAATCTGCTGCCTGAAATATGGGACATGGGAGTTAGAAATCCATGGCGATGCAGTTTTGATTCAGAGAGGCCGTCTTACTTCCTATGTGCAGATGTTGGATAGGTACTAACCAAACCTTAAACCACATTTGTACATTTGTTTATATTCTCTCTTCAGATGTTGGAGAGGTATGCCTCTGAGTTTGGTGGAGTCATTTGTTTAAGAAAGATTTAATACCTGGAATTGAAAAATTATTTATGGTTTTCGAGTAAAATGAGAGGACACATGTTGAATCTAGCATACTTCATTATTGGGTTTAGATGTAATTTAGGATCTGATAGTATCGCTTTGTTAGTCAGGAGTATAAGTGAAGATACTGAACAAGTAGGCTATGGCTCATTATTGGGAAGCATGTGTGTCACAGATAGATGTATGTTTTTGTAGCTCTCACATGTAAGCTTAGTGGAACCACTAATAAGAGAGGAACTATATAAGCTCCTCAAGCACTTATTTTGATCGAGCCAAATCATCAAAATAAACTGAATTTGTTGTTTTTCTTCTTGTCTCCATTGTTTTGGCTCTTCTGACTGTTCTTCTTTTCCTCTAGAGCTTTGATCAGATTGTTCAAAGATACTCTTATACAATGATGATTCTCATGATCCATCGCAATGTAGTCAATGACAGTGAAAAAGAAGAAAAACAAGAAGAAAAGTTACTGGTTAGCTTCGGTTTTCTTGCAGAACGAGAGATGTCATCCTCAGATTTTACATTTGATTGAGAAAGAAGGAAAGCCATTACAGGTAAAAGACAAAGAATTGTAGTGAATATCATATTCATTCATTCTGAAATATGATATCTTTCGGAGATTTCAATATTCATGCTTAGGGAAAAGAAAAGACAAATTACAATTTTGCAGGCTCGAGAAGAACAAATAGCAAAATACAAAAAGAATAAACTGTTGACCCAGTCAAAAGAGCATATCGTGGTGGAGAAGTGGGTTTTGTGGCTGCATCATAGCCATGTTGTTGCTGCAGCTTCTTAGACCAAACCCTTGTCCCACCGTCGCTTGGTAAACAGAGTCATCGAGTTGAGAGAAGCTGCCGTTGTCATGGTTATAGAGAAAGATTGAGAACTTGCTCTGATGGTTATCCAATGAACCAGTTGCGAAGCCGCCGGGCGAGATGGTTCGTTGACGACTCTGTCCATTATTGATTTAGCGATGGAGATAAATGTGTTGTGCAGCCGGATGAAGCCGCAAGACTCTGATCGTCAAACATCAAAGGATCATTGATCAGTGAAGGAGATAAATCCGAGCCTGGAGAATTCTGATTTTGTTCGGTCGACCTTGATGCAACAACACAGTCGTATGAAACCGCAAGGCTCTGAATCTGATCGGGCTCGGTCTGAAGAAGCCGACGCTTGTCTTGGAATATCCGTAAGCGACTCTCCAAGGAATGCTCCAACTCTAAGACTTTCTCTGAGAATTTATTGTCGTTTTTCTCCAGAGATCTCTTCCTCTCCTCGTTGAGCTTCTTGTTAAGAAACTGAGAGAGGTTGGTGCTTTTCTTGCGTTTTTCGTTGTGGCTTAGTTTGCTAAACCTCTCGGCCATGTCTCTGACCTTGGATTGATCCTCGGGCCATGTCTTGATGAGTTCCCCGTCACGGCCGTAATAGAGGACGCAGAGTTGGACGTCGCATAGAGTCGAGAGCTGGGAGGCTTTTCTGAGCATGGTCGCTTCTCTCATACCCAAATTTGTCATCTTTGTTGAAACGAGTTTGATTTCTCACCGACAATTTGGTTTTCGCCTTTGTCGAAAGCGAAGGATCCGTTGTTCACGCCAAAGAAAAAGAAACAAGAAGAAGAATGCTTCTAGGGTTTCGGAATCGCAAAGAGGATTAATGGGATATTAAGCGAGGGTAATAATGAATAGTGAACAACAGCAACGGAGGTTCAGGGTTGTGTGTGTGTGTATATATTAAAAGAGTGGGACACTTAATTTCCATTTTCTCCTATTAATCTAGCCGTTGGGGGAATTTCCATATTTCGGGATTGCTTGGGGAGGAAGGCTGTAGAAGCTTCCCACTGCTGAGAAAAAAAAAAAGCGCGTGTAATGTAAACAAGGACACTTTAACTCAAAACGACATGAACACAAAGACTAGTTAACTCAAAACGACATGAGAGCAGAACACTAAAGGAAGTTATCAGAGGATGAGACTTGAATCTGAGCAAAGAGGATGAGAAGTGAGTAGGAAACAGAGATAAAGGAAGATAACCATGGCTTGATTCGATTAGCTATGCAAAATTGCAAATAACGCATAATTATTAAACCAAATTATCATTTTTTTCTTTCATTTTGGAATGTGAATCTTGAAAAGAGTACAAACAGAAGAGTTTTCCCCAAAAAAAAAACGGTAAAGGCGAAATCTGGGCCAAACTTGACCCTTTTCCACATCACATAAGTTTGATTCATATCAGCACCACCACATCTGAATCCAATTTCAAGATTATTTAACAAAATTCAGTAGCAATCAATCACTGAACTGAAGAAAGAGCATTTCAGCAAAACAATCAGGAAATTGTCAAAATTACTGAAATCAAAAGGCCGGTGAAAGCAATAATTACTTCAGGAGTGGCGCCAGGGTAGTGAACTCCAGTGGAGACGACCATGCGCCGTTTTCCGGCAAAGAAACTTCCTGGGACAATCGAAAATCTGCCATTGAAGCGAAGCACTTCGTGTTGACTCGGCCATTGAACTAAAAGCTCATCAAAGTCCATTATAATTTTCCTTTTTTCTGTATCAAATGTCGTTAATCCAAGGAGAAGACCAAATGTCACAACAAAAGCAAAAGGAAGGTCGGATGATACCATATATTTCTAATAAATGCTAAATTTTCCCCCAAAGTATATAAAAATGCAACACTACCCATATACTAAATTGTTGTCGTTGAAATATTGATCTGACGCATTTACCCTACGTTCGAAGGAAAAAGGAAATATTGTTCGGTAGGGCTGGGCAAATTATCCGTTATATTTGATTCGATCCGCTATTTGCTTCGATTCAATTTGAAAAATTCGGATATCCGTAGCTTTACGGAGCAAAGCAAATACTAAATTTTGATATCCGTTAAAAACGGAGCAAATCACAAATATTAAAATTCTAAAAGCTGGATATCCGATCCGCTCCGACATACATATATATATATATAAATAATTACATATAGAATGTATAGTTAATATAATTATATGTAAATTTTTGTGAATTTATATTTATTTTATCAGTTATTTTAATATGAAATTTTAATAAATTTTAATAAGAACAATTCAAAATTTAATATATGAGTTAATTTTTGACTTTTTAATTATTTTTATAAATAATTTTATTTATTTTATAAATATTTTATTTATTTTATAATTAATCTAATATTTTTGAAACGGATCGGATATCCGGTCAAAAATCCGAATTTTAACGGATATCCGAATACCGGATATCTGATTAGTAACGGAACAAATACGGATCAAAAAATTGTTGATCCGTACAGGACGGAGCGGATCACAGATATCACTAAAATTCCGGATATCCGCTCCGTGTCCAGGCCTATTGTTCGGGGTGAAATATACTTTCGATCGAAGGAAGAAGCTTCCTTGTTATTTCTTTACAACGACTTAAAAAGATCAAACACAAAATCTAAAACAATCCTAATGGTTTCTGCGCTTATACAGACACCTGTTATCTTGAAAAGTAATCCGAATAATTTTTTTCATCGAATTATTTCATTGACGACATAAAACTTATAAAGCAAGCTATGAATATGGTATGTTTAGTGTTTGTTTCTTGATAACGAATGTTACTTTCAAGGGTAATTTTTCGTTTTCCTCATCTTGTGATTGATATTAGACTATTAACGATGTTCTGCTCGAAGTTTCACAAGCTGATCTTTTGAAATACGACTTACCACAAGTGTTTTAGTAAACGTAAGGCCAGACATTGGTATTCAGGTTAGTAAACAACAAAACTAACCCTGTATATATTCAAATATAAAAAGAAACAAATTAATTGTGACACAAGGTATGTGTATGTACAGCCATTGGCAGATATGATGGCTAAGGATTTGAAATGCAGATGGGGAAACTACTTCAGCGTTATTTGTATCCTGTTAGCCACCGGCACAGAAACCGGTCCATTGATGTATTTATCGAAGGCTAAGGCCGTTCGTTTCTGGATCTAGATGTTGTATTTAGATTCAACATTTAGATATTATTCGTTTTTAAAACTAAGTTTTGCATTTGGATACATCATTTTAATGTAACATTGTTTGTTTGTGTATTTACAAAAAATCTGAATGCAAAATATCTCAAATAATCAAAAAGGTATATTTTCAATTTATTAATTTTAAAATGATTTATTTTGGCGAGAAAACTCAATTTTGCAATGTAAACAAAAAAGAATTTTACAATTTTGGTGGAAATATACCAGTTTACGGTTTTAGCAGAAAAATTTGGTTTTGCGGTCTTCACTGAAAAACACTGTTCGACAGAAAAACATAATTTTAGAAAACTTGATTTTCCGGTTTTGACGAAAAAGCTCGATTTTATTTTGTTTTGGCGGGAAAACTCAATTTTTTGATTTTAGTGAAAAAAACATGATTTTACGATTTTGACAAGAAAATTTGATTTTCCAAATTTTTGGGATATTTTTTATTTTGCATCCAGATATGATATCTAGACGCTGATTTAAAAATGTTCAAACGAATAATATTTGAGTATTTGCATCGAGATACAACAGAGGGATAAAAAACGAACAGGGCCTAAATCAAACATGGATCGTAAAAAACACTCACTTCTAGCCGCTTTGGCATATTCAAGTACAAAAATCGTTGTCAATACTTTCAGAGCAAAGGTGTGTATATATATATTAATTAATTGTTCCCATGGAAGAAATCAGTTTCCATGACCATCCGATTGCTTACATTGTTCCAACTGTCTATGGACACGCTTATATACGTATCTCTTGTTTCGAGAAACTAATTACTCATTAATATTTAACCTCTTTATACTTTATTTTTCTTCATCTTCTTTTTGTCTTTTCTTATAATGTTCTGTCTATTTTTTTTCTTCATTCTTGTAGGCATTAACAATACATTTTATAAGTTACGCGAATAAGATGATAATCTCAGTAGGGGTCGATTCTACTGTCATTCTAAATCTTCACAAGCTTTGTGATAAAATAGAGGACTCTCTGAAAACTATGAAAGTCGCTCTCTTTTAATTAGCGGGTTACTCTAATGTGTGAATATGTTTAATTAGTACGTACCCGGTCCCCCACTATAGTATTAATTAGTAACAATACATTTGCTAAGTTACGCAAATAAGATGATAATCTCAATAGGATCGAATCTAATGTCATACCAAATCCTTACAAGCTTTGTGATAAAATAGAGGATTCTCTGAAAGCTATGAAAGCCGCTCTCTTTCAAAAAACATAAATTCATTGACATCTTCCGCTTATGATTTAAGCTTCAAAAGTAAAATAAAATCAAGCGAAACCTACATTTAATTTCCTAAAATTCGGATCGTACTGATTTATATAAACTCTTAAAATAAATTAAGGCATCACAATAATATGTAATTTCCATGCATCGCAGTATATTTTTAAAAAATATATATTTTGGGGTGCCATAGCCTCATAGAGCTGCTTTCTCAATAATATAATTCAGAATACTTACATCCAAAAGATAAGGAAGAGAGTATTAGTAGTTACGAGTATTACATCCAAAAGATATCATATTATCATTTTTGGTTTCACAACTCTCTCCATATGTTGAATACATACATTTCTCATTTTTATCTAAATATAAAAATTAAAACCTGGGATTTTGCTGTCAACGAAGATATCTCCTATTCCTTTAAGGCCTCTAAAACTCTTGGTGTCGAGTTTTTCTAAAACTCTATGCATAACAAAGTTAATGTATAAATTTAATATATTATTAATTATAAATACTAAAAATATATGAAAAATTTGACCCAAAACACATAGCAGTAATAAACATTAAATTATAAAAATGACATGTGTGAATATGTTTAATTAATACGTATCCCGCACTATAATATTAATTAGTAACAATCTCACATAAACAAGCAATTAACCTTGCATAATAATGAAATGTAATATGCATTTTGTGGTGTGTAACTGTCTATTTACGGCCGTCACGGTAAGCATTTGTCGACGTCGTTTGAATATTGGGATAGTATAACTGTATAAGAGAGAACGTTTCAATTTCTAAAATGTAATTTTCAGAAGATGTATAAGACATTGCTTCATCGTCTTACCCTTAACCAGACCTCATATTTACACCTCCATACCCTTCTTCACCAGTCCTGAATCAACACAACGCAAGCTCATCTTCAGTCTCTGCTTCTTCATCATCCTCATCTTCACAATCGACACAAACCAAAAAAAGCGTACGGAGAAAACAGCCAGAGAACTCGACATCGTTGAGGAAGCATCGGAGGTACGAAAGATCTGCTCATCTCGATCACAAAGTCGACATGTACGAGCTTCTAGCTTCAAATCACCAGACCCAGAACGAAAAAGAGCTTTTTTCTATTTACAAAGACAGACAATTGTCTATACGGTTTATGGTTTCGCTTCTTTCCCGCGAAAATGATTGGCAGAGATCACTCGCATTGCTCGATTGGGTTCATGAGGAAGCTAAATACACTCCTTCGGTTTTCGCCTACAACGTCGTTCTTCGAAACGTGTTAAGAGCTAAGCAGTTTGATATTGCACACGGACTGTTCGACGAAATGCGTCGCAGAGCTCTTGCGCCTGATAGGTTTACTTATTCGACGCTAATTACTTCGTTTGGGAAAGAAGGTATGTTTGATTCGGCTCTTTCTTGGCTTCAGAAGATGGAGCAAGATCGTGTTTTAGGTGATCTTGTCTTGTACAGCAACCTCATCGAGCTTTGAGCTTTCTAGGAGGCTGTGTGATTAAATCTTTACTCAAGAAACCAGAGGTACGTCAATGTCATTGAAGTGTTTGAGAAGATGAGAAGCTCTGGCTATCTTCCGGATTCAAACGCGATAGCTACAGTGTTGAACGCGTACGGGAAGCAAACAGAGTTTGAGAAAGCGGAGACGGTTTACAGAGAGACGCAAGATGAAGGATGTAAGAATTCAAGCTCTTCACAGGTGCTTGATCCCTTTAAGAATCTGATGTTCTTTAAGTTGTGTAACTTTTTAGTTCGGAGTTGGATTTGCTAAGATTTGAACTACTTCGAGTTGATTGAACAACACTGAATCGTCATGCTTAGATTGCTAGGCAAAACTTTCTCATCTCTGAGAAATTTCCAGACTTGATTGATTGTCTTTATGTTGCACATCTGTTTAGTTTGGTCGGTGTTTCTCAGATTTGGTCCATTTTTTCATTGGTTGAACAACACTGTATCATTATTCTTAGATTGCTAGGCAAAACCTTCCATCGTATTCAGAACATTTGCTAAGAAAATGTCTGCACATGATCTTAAAAAGTTGGGTGTTCTGTGTTTGCCTTAGATTGTGTGGAAGACTTTTCTTAGAAGCACATTGTTTGAATTTCAGACTCTCTTAAACTAACATGTGATTCTTGAAAATGTCTGCACATGAGCTTTGGTCTTCTGTTTAGATTTCTTGGTGAGATTTCCATTTCTATGGAATCTGTAGAGAGAACTATATGAGTTATTTTCCAGATTGTTTTCAATTCAATCCATTATCGGTTGTTTCCATGCTGAAGACTCAAAACAATCAATTCTTTGTTGTTGAAGAAGAATGGGTTTTCTCTGTTCAGTAGCAGTCTTCCTTTCTTCGCTTGTGTTGTTTCTTGCTACAGAATCTTTGATCTGTTTTACTCTATAGCTACAGATTCTGCATTTTGGAATACCTTTTTTATCAAAACAGAAATAAAAAGTTAGATCTTCCAAGAACTTGTATGTTTAAGAATCATATAGGAAAGTTGATAATTTAATTTTTTTTCAAGTTTTTTTTTCTTTTTCAAGGTGATAAGTTTTAATACAATTTGTTTTCTGACTTTGGCGAATTTACGCTTTTGAGATACTAACATGTTTCGCATATACAGACAAGTGTTGAAGAAGCTTCTGCAAGAGTAATACTTGACAACTCATCCATGGAAGCAGATAAGGTAAACTTTAGTACTGTTCTTGATGATGAGATCACAAGTGGCGATAGCAGAAACAAGATTATTTCAGGAGAAGCAGATGTTGCAGAGCTTGTAGATATAACTCAGCGGTATAGTGTCACCTTGACGTGGTGGAAGTCATCAGTTCGAGCCTGATAACGGTTCAGGTAATGGAGCAAGAAACTGTTGCATATTCAGAATGATTCAAAGTTCTTGCAAAGCATGAAGATTTGTAATCTAAAACTGTTCTGTATGATCAGGGAATAAAGAAAACGAAGGATCAGAATGTGAAAAAGGAGAAGCGATGAAGACAGTAAGATCGCTAAATAGAAAGCTAGTGAGACAGAAAAAGATGAGCAAGGAACTATCTTTGTTCATGAATCTGAAAGCTTCAACAAAAACACAGACGATGATGTGAAGATAATCTTAAGTGATGCTGTGACTTCAGAGAAGGCAAAGAAGATGACACTACCCAAAAATCAGACGAGGTATTTTTTTAAAAACCTTGAAGCTTAAACATGAGAGATGCTCAAAACTCAGTGAGATAAAGAGTAGAATAGTTTTCCGTTTTGTGCAGGTAAGTGTCGAAAAACCGGTAGTAGAAGAAGATCTAACAAAAACCATACACACACCAAACAAGAAGAGGAGATAGGTGCAATCTCTAAGGTATTGATTGATACCACACCTGTAAAATTCAGTGAAGGCGATACAGAGAAGAGCTTAGACTCGGTATGTTTTTGGATTCATGTTCGATTTACATTTTTCCGTGTTCTCTATCCGTGGAACTAAAAAACTTTACTCTATTGCAGGCCTATGAAGAAATACCTATAAAGACTGAAGAAGCAAAACAAGAAAAAGATTCAGGAACTGTTGAAACCTCTGTAAATGGGACGGAGGCTGAGCACAATGCAACGCTTTCACTAGAAGAGATCTCTAAGAACAGTGACAACCTTGTGAAAGAAACAGCTCCAGAAGAAGAAACCACAACAAACGGTGAATCAGTACATGGCTTTGAATCTACAAAAAGAGTCCTTCTTGAAGCGGAGAATGAAGAAGAAAGAGAAGAGATGAAAACAGAAACAGAAACAGAACCGATGGGGGATTCGAAAGAGAAAGAGGGAACGAAGACGGTAAAGATCATTAGTAGTGAAGAAACTGCATCTCATGAATCTGAAATCTTGAGAGAAATCATCAGAGGGAGGTTGCAGCGATCAAGTTCTGTATCAAACAATGATTGTGGCTTATGAAAAAGTTGGTCTAATGGGTCATGCTAAGCGTCTGCTTCAAGAACTAAAGCGTCCTAATAACTTCCCGATTCTTGCGAAAGCCGGGAGAGTCGAAGAGGCCACATGGGTTTTCCGGCAAGCTTTTGATTCAGGGAAGGTTAAAGACATATCTGTGTTTGGCTGTGTGATCAAATCTTTACCCGAGAAACCAGAGGTACGCGAATGTCATTGAAGTGTTTGAGAAGATGAGAAGCTCTGGCTATTTTCCTGATTCAAACGCGATAGCTACAGTGTTGAACGCGTACGGGAAGCAAAGAGAGTTTGAGAAATCGGATACGGTTTACAGAGAGATGCAAGAGGAAGGATGTGTTTTCCCTGAAGAAGTTCACTTTCAGATGCTGAGTTTATACTCTTCGAAGAAAGATTTTGAGATGGTTGAATCTTTGTTTGAGAGATTGGAATCTGATGCTTTGATGTTTTAAAGTTGTGTAGCTCTTTAGTTCAGAGTTGGATTTGTTAAGATTTTCTTTCATCTTCTGATTATACAATGCTGATTCAGAAGACAAGGCTTAGTACATATACAGTACTCTTATTATACAATGCTCTTTCTCTGATATGATCTTTGTAATATGCAAGAAGATGTCAGAGACAAGGGATTCGTTTGTGAACGTTGCTTAGGATAAAAAAAAAACGGTAAGGAATAGAGAGACATAACACATAAGTGAAGTAAGAACATCTTTTTCATACAAAACCACATATTTATACCGAATTGCAAACATTAATACCAGAGGTTGATTACAAACCATAACATTGTCTCTTAACAGATGAACCCTAATTAACAAATTTCACTTTCACACATATTAAAGACAGAGAGATTCAAATTTGTAAATTCTGAAAGAGATTCTCGACTTGTTTTCTTGCTTTCTTTGCCTTGGCTTTAGCCTTCTTTGCTTGACGTTTTGCATCAAAACTCTCCACCTTCTTCTTCAAAAGCTTACTCTTGACGAAATCACGGCGTCCAAATTCAGATCTCCCGATTTGTTTGAACCCTTGATAGCGAAGCTCGCGCACAAACTCAGAGATGTTCCTACCAAACTCTGCGGATTTCGGAAGAATCCTAGTGCGAAACCCTCCTAGATCCCATAAGACGAAACTATCGTTGGTGTCGCTCCACGAGACGATTGAATCCAACGAAGGATCATCCACAATCTGATACAATCTGATGAAGAACGAATTCGAACCCGGTTGGAAACTTTGAACCATCCTTAAAAAACCCTAACAAAAGCACTTTCGAATCAGAGAAAAATTAAAAAATCTGAAATTTGTTTTGTTGTAACTGAGCAAATGAACGAAGAACTCTGAATGCGGCAACAGAAGAGGGGTGATGATATATTTATAGATGGGCTGCAAAATAAAATTTGACGGTCAAGATTATGTTTATAAAGTTTCCTTTTTGTATTGACGGTCAAGATTTACCCTACAAAGTTTCCCTTTTCCGTTATTCTTTCTATTTCCTTTTTTTTGTTCTTTTGAGATTTTCATTTTCCCAATAAACAATTAACGGTCATGATATCATCAGATTAATTTTTAGCGGTCAATATTTAAAGTTTAAAACTGCGAAGGAAGAGAAACGGTGCGTTTTAGTTTTCTCTGCTCAGTAGCAGTCTTGACCATGCTGAATGGTCAAAACAATTAATTCTTTGTTGTTGAAGAAAAATGGGTTTTTCTCTGTTCAGTAACAGTCTTGATTTCTTGCCAAAGAATCTTAACAGTCTTGATTTCTTGCCAAAGAATCTTTCTCACATCCGTTATGTAATGATTTTAGTAGCTGTCTCTTTTTTCTCCTGAGACTTAAATTAGTCTTTGAATAAGGTTTGATCAAATGACTTATAACATTATATCACTTTCTTATAGTTACAAACTACCACTACGAACAGACGCATAAACATAAGCTAATTAGTAAAAATTATGATCCATTATAGGTCAAAAAGTAAGAGTTGCATGAGAGACGGTGGAATCTCGTTGCCAAAAAATGATACAAAAACTAATAAATTCTACATTTCCTCTATGATCTCATCTTGGATTAACTTGAGTTACTGCTGACCTCGATTGTGCTATGAGCCGGTTTCTTTCTCAATCCAACATTCTCCATCATGATTCTCACCTTCTCCATATCTTTCCACCGTCCCAAAGCTGCATAGATATTCGCCAGCAACACATAGTTTCCTGTGTTCTCTGGTTCAAGCTCGAACAGCTTGTTCGCTGCGATTTCACCAAGCTGAACATTCTCGTGTGTGGCACAAGCAGCAAGCAATGCGCCCCAAACGGTTGAGGTGTGTTCAAAAGGAATCGTTGTAATGAGACTGAAAGCTTCCTCTAACCGACCTGCTCGACCAAGAAGATCAACAATGCATGTGTAATGGTTTGATCGAGCTATCGTCTTGTAATGTTCAAGCATAAACCTGAACAATGTCAAGCCTTCTTCAACCAAACCGGAGTGGCTGCAAGCGTTTAACGCAGAAGTGAATGTGATTTCGTTCGGCGTCACACCAGACCGAACCATTTCCATGAAAACTCGCAACGCGTTATAGCCATCTCCGTGCATCCCGTAGCCTGAAATCAAAGCACCCCATAGGACTATATCTTTGCTCTTGTGCTTCTCCTGGATCCCATTGAATATCTTGTGTGCGGATTCTAAAGTTCCACACTTTGAGTAAACATGAACAAGCCCTGTAGCAGCATCGAGGCTTGACATAAACCCGGTTTTCGTTAGGTAGCAATGGATATCCATTGCTTGGCGCAAATCTGCCAAAGCCGCATATGCTGGAAGGAGACTGTTTAGTGTAGCAATGTTCGGTTCAACATCTTCCCTTCGCATCGATTTGAACATCTCCAACGCGTCCTTCATATGTTCATTCTGCACACAACCGGAAATAACAGCACTCCAAGGACCGGTTTGGTTTCTTGAAGCTCCCGAGAAGACTTTGAAGCAGAGGTCTATGCGGTTGCATTTAGCATACATGCTGATCAAAGATGTTTCGATGGTGACAGTGGAGCAAACCTTTTGCCTTATTGCCCAACCATGTAAACATTTACCATCACTCAGCTTCAAAGCATCACCACAAGCTGAAACAAGAGAGGCTATAGTCACAGCATTAGGTCTCACCCCTTGAAACTGCATCATTCTACAGAGCTCCAAAGCGTTCTTCACATCCCCGTCTTCTGTATAACCATTAATCATACTAGTCCATGTGATCACATCTCTGCGTTCCATCCTATCAAAGACGAATCTCGCCTCGTCCATGCGACCACATTTCAAATACATGTTCACCAACGCGTTCTTCACCTCAATCTTATCACCTAAACGCTTCTCTTCCACCAATTTATGAACATTCCTTCCCATTTCCAGATCCTTCAAGTGACCACAAACAGGTAACAATGAAACGATCGTAGCGTGGTCAGGATCAACAACTTCGGTTACCATCAGATCAAATATCATCAAAGCATCATTCATATACCCATTTCTACAATACCCACTAATCATCGTGTTCCACGAGATCACATCTCGGTTCTTCATCACATCAAACACTCTCCTCGCCGTTTCAACCCTCCCAAAGCTCATATACATCGCAAGCAACGCGTTCTGCACATATTTATCCGTACCAAACGAGCTTCTCAATATCCTCCCATGAATCGCCAACCCTAAATTCACAGACTTTAACTCTCCAGCAGCCTTGGCGACAAAAGGGTATGTATAACTATCAGGACAACAATCAACTCCTTCACTAACCATCCTAATGAACGTTTCGATAGCATCGTGGTACAATCCGTCACGCACGTACATTCTGATAACAATGTTATAAGAAAGCAAGGAGCTTTGAGGCATTTCCTCGAACAGCTTCCGTGCATAAGCGATGTGGCCGCATAAGGCATACGTGACGGAGAGAGTCGAGACGATGTGGCCGGAGATTCGACCGCCGGTGATGATGTGGCAGTGTAAAGCCTTGGTTTTTGCGATTGATTGAGTAGCTGCATAGTGATTCAAGAGAGATTGGTACTGCTTGACGCTTACAAGTGCGTGTTTGGCTCTGCGCAGAACCTCACTCATTTAAAACGACAGTTGCTTAAGCATCTATCGGGTTCAAATTCTAAAAGAAGCGACAAAGCTGATCCAAATGCGTGCCGGATTGCAGTTTATTATGAGAACTTCGTGCCGTTTTAGTCTTACTTCGTTTTTAATGAAGAAAGTTTCAATTTTAGAAAGAAGATAATTTTAATGGAAAGTCTATTTATTACGAGGCCCACTAGTCAAAGCCCATTTTCAAGCTTTCGATCTTTTCTCTCTCTCTCTCAGACTCCGTCCTCGTCAGAATCATGGCATCTCACTACCACCACGACGGCGGCTGCCGCCGTCTTTACCACAACCACCGTGAAAGCACTTATTATGCCACGCCACCACCCTATTGCTGTGGAGATTCTAGTCGTTGCTGTACTCAATCCTCGCCGCCGAATCTAGATCATCTTCTTCGTCTAATTGCTTCCTACCTCCAAAATCAACAACAACAGCAAGAAACTCAATGTTCCTGTGAAACTCTACCACAGAGATTTAACGCCGTTAAACGACATAGTTTCGGGAACCAGCAGCAGCAACAGAAGAGCGTTCAACGAGAATACGACAATCTTCTCCGGAAAATCGACGATCTCGATTTGTCCCTCAATCGATTCTCGGTTCGCCGCGACTCTTACTCTACATTGAAAAACTCGGCGGCGCGTGTGATTCAGACCCATTTCCGGTCTTACCTGGTTCGCAGATCCGTATCACTCAGGCAACTCAAGGAGCTAGCTTCGATCAAATCAAGCTTCTTATCTCTCAAATCCTCGGTTTCTGGCAAAACCCATTTCCCTTTCGAAGCTGTTTCTCGAGAAGCTACAGATTTGCTTCTGCAATTGGATTCCATTGAGGTACTTTGAAGATCCACTCTGAAATTCTTCTGTAAGCTTTATTTCTTGATTCTGAATCACTTGTGTCTCTCTCAGTCTCAGGGTAGGGTTGATTCAATGATACGAGATGGCAAAAGAACATTGTGTAGAGATTTGGTGAGGTTCTTACACTACATTGATGATTGTGCTGTGCAAAGGCGCAATATTGTTTCTAAATCTGCCAAAGATGTGAGCTTTGGGGCTAAACGTCTTGTAGGAGAAGATAGAACCACCGAGAAATCGAAGAAGAAGCAAATAAGAACAATCTATGTTACTTCAAGTGGCGACGAGGAGAACATTGCTGAGCTAGAAGAGTTTCATTTCATGAGTGAAGAAGATGGTCAAGAAATCCCAATTGTTTCTGTTGAGAAAAGCCGAAAGATTGGAACTTCAAAGTCTATAGTTGGGGAATCGGTGAAAGGAAACAAAGTGAAGTGTGGTAAAGATAGGAATGTCTATGAGTTAACTTCGAGTGCAGAGGATGATGAAATCTTGATGAAGGCTCGTGGTTCAAGAAGTGGAGTTGCCGTTAAAGGCGGTGGAGAGAAAACACGGGTGGTGAAAACTGTGAGCTTTGATGAGGATGGGAACGTTTATAAGGTTTATGGAGATACGTCAGAGGCAAGTGTAAGTGGTGGAGATGACAGTTCCACAAGCGGATCAAACAACGAAGCTGGAGATGGTTACAATGAGGTTGAGGATATCAGATATGTGACCAAGGAGAATGAAGAAGAAGAAGAAGAAGAAGAAGAAGAAGAAGAAGAAGAAGAAGAAGAAGAAGAAGAAGAAGAAGAAGAAGAAGAAGAAGAAGATCAGTCTGAGGATGAAGAAGAGTCTAATTCAGAAGGGAGTAAAGAGGAAGAACAGGTTATCAAATATGTCAGCCCCACGGGAAGAAATGAACAACACACGCGGCGAAAAGAAAGTTCAATGTTCTCTCCTCCATTGCCACTAAAAATGGAACCTTGAGAGCTGCGTCGTTAAAACGATGGTTTCCACTTCCTATTTGTTATGACTTGTGTCAATCAAAGAAGATGACTTTTGCAGATGGGTCTTCATCTTGGTTCGTTCCTTTGATCTTCTGTATTCTTTTATGACATTGCGTTCTTGAAGCTTTTTCTTTCAGAGAGTCTCTGGTCTCTTGCTTGTCGGTTTTCTTAGATCAGCTTGCTTAGGTAGATCAGTTTTGTACTTTGTAGACTGTTGTAATCTTGGATGTATGTGGTTTTAGTAGCGTTCCTTGAATTTAAAGAACTTCCACAAGATTTCTTCTGCTTCTGCTTCTTTTTCTGACATTGTTCTTGTGTTTGTATATATACTTACTGTTCACATGGTCTCTTATGAGATGCAAATTCATAGTTGTTAACTATTCAGATTAGATCTAAACAAAGAGACGATATTGACAGATACATAGTACAGACCATCAACAACAATTTTAATAGTTTTTTTTTTCTCTAAGCAACAAATCCAAGTAGCAACGCACACGAATAGCCTGAAGAATGCAACTAAACCATCATCATCATCATCCTGCTATTCTGTTTGTTCATCAACATGTCTCTAGTTTATATATCCACCTGAGGGATTCTACCACCAGCTTGGACAATCTGTTGCTCAAGCTGCAACACAAAACAATACAAGACTTATTCATCAAACCCTAAGGAAAAAACAGCTGTTTTCTTCACAATTTCAATAGTTTGTTCACTCACATTGAACAAATCTTGAAGCTTTGCTTTTAATGACTTATACTCAATATCCACCTGCTGCAAGCATCTCACACACCTTTTTGACAGTGATTGGGCAACAAATTAGTCTCAACAATCAAATGAGCATAGCAGAAATATAAGATCCGGAAAAAAGGCTCACCCTTCATAGTTCTGAGAGTCGCAACACTCCTTGAAGGTAACACAAAGACCTTTGACTCTCTTGGCACCAACACTTCACAGAAAGAAGAAAGAGCTCTTAATTAAGACTAAGTCCGAAAGGAGACAAAAGACCAAGATAACGGATTAATGAGACAATGTAACATACCTTGAGCTACTACCTTTGAGTTGATGAACACTAGAACCTACCAGCTTATAATCTACATTTACTGTCTGGTCTCTGAATATATATATCAACAGTCAGTAAGCATACATGCGTTTTGATGATATTAGTGGAAGAAAAGTCTAAAACTTACAGAGCTCTAGCCATGTTACTGATAAGCTTCTCACAGTCCTCAAAGAACAGAGAAACAACCTCAGCCACAAAATCAGGGCTACATTCATCTTGCAGCTTCTTCAATTCGGTGAATTGATCATCCAGAAATCCCTTCACAAACCGAAACAACGAATCTCAGAAACCCATCTCATAAATACTCTAAACAACTCTTAAAATCCCCAATTTCCGAATCCAAGGTTCAATAAGAACCCTAAAACAGAGTATAGAGTCATCCCTATAAAGGAGACACCTTTGAAACAGGAGACAAAAACCCATTTCACAGACACTGAAACCAATTCATACAAGCCCCAATTTCTAGTATACAAGCTTCAACAAGGAAGAACTCTAAAAAAACAGTTGAGTCTTGAGAGTCCTCCTTGAAAAGAAGAAACCTTTGAAAAAGGAGACAATAACCCATTTCACACTCACTGAAATCCAATTCTTACAGCCTCAAATATGCAAATACTAGCTTCATCAAGAACCCTAAAACTATAGAGAACCATCAAGCCTTTAAAAGGAGACACCTTTGAAACTTATCCGCAATTTCCAAGTTTTCTTCACCAAAAAATGAATCACTTTTATAGACAAGATACGAAATTTACTAATTATCTGTGTATAAAGAGAACCTGGTGATAGAGAGAAATGGTGTAATCACGAAATTGCCTCTGTAACTGAGCAATGAGACTGTCCATGGCTGTGTGTACTCGTGAAGACGAAGCAGAGAGAAGGAGATGTGAAGTTTGATAAACAAAAAATAGAGCAATTTCCTCTGAATTTTTGGACTTTAATTTCCAATCCGAATAAAGAGAGATTCGTACAGATCATCAATCTTATGGACAATAATAATAAAGAAAATACTAAACTTTTCCATAAAGAGAGAGAAAGAATAAATGATTAGTTGTCAAAAAAGACAACCTTTGAGAAAAGTGAGAAACATTGATTTCGGCCATGTAAAACGGAATCTCATTTCATGATTGATACATTTCATTCATTCTCGCAAGCGTTTTTAATTTTTTTCATTTCTTCAACGTGGAATCGTTAGGTGTGATTTCAAACCACCGACATCAAGAATCTCTCACGCTGGAAGATTCTCTATATGACTATATAGACCTATTGGGCTCAAGAACATCTTCAGAGAATGATATATATTCAACTTGAACATATACCTTGAAGTGTCATCACCTTCAATTTCAATAATTTGCGCATTTATCACTTTCCACTTTTAGTAGTCCGTTTTATCATCCTCAAAAGTCATTGCATGATGTAAAATCTTAACCGATAGGGAGTAATTAGAGGAAATGACAATTATGACAGTATGAACAAAATCATTTTGCCATTTCATTTAACTTTTACTGGATGGTATAAGTCTGACTTTTTCAGTGTTACTTTGGGTCAATAAACTACTTACCCCAATCCAACCATATATCTACAAGTTCAAAGACAAAACCTTTGCTTTCACCATCTTTGATCTTGACTTGAACAAGAGCAGACTCTTTTCGTTTGTTTATACAGTACTTCATAGAATCTTCATTAAAGACATACTTTATAGTATTGTGAAATATGTATATTGTATTATTTTAGTATCAGTAAATTTGCGTGAGTTTATGAAGTCTATAAAATTTTGTCAGGATAATGATAGTAGACTCTATATAAAAATATTAATATAACTGGACATCTCTTATCTTCGCACAAAAAAACTGGACATCTCTTATCTTAGTATGTATAACAAAATAATCAGTTATCTTAGTAACAATGCTCATAATAATATTTTTAAAGATACTGTAACTTTTCTTTTTGCATAACAAAGTGAAATTTATTAGAGTTTTGAATCTAAAACACAAAAAAACCAACCCCTTGTATAACCACTACGCCACCATCTTTTTGGTATAGAACTTTGTTATAACAACTCGCACAAAAAAAAATATATATATATAACAAAATAACAACGATTCATTGCTTAAGTTGGAGCAATCTTACTATCTTAGTCAATGTTTTTGGAAAATGAGACTACATGGGCGTTTATCACTCACATCGATCTGGCCTAAACTAACTACAACCAGAAAGACAGTTATATAAATTAGATAATCGACCTTATCCGCTTTGGAGAAGAGTTCTTACATCCTCTTAGTAGCTTTTAGAGGCATATATATGCTGATAGGTAGGAGACCATATAGGCTGGTATAACCAATGAGTTTGACAGTGCATGTAGTTTGTTTTTCATATTGCGTTACCAATCATATGTTATATAGAATCTACCAGAAATATGCTAAAAACCCATTCGCATGACTTGTTAAACTGAAAATTCCCTCTTCTCGGTCAAAACCTATCTTTAGTTATTTTGGTTTTTCAACACTTTTTGTTTTTGTCTTTTTTTAGTTTCATCTATCTTAATTATAGGTGTTTTTGAGTATATGCAATGAAACCAATGTAATTCGTATAAAATTTTGAAATACTCGGGGTGAGAGTTGAATCTCCAAAATTTGAGGGGGAGATATTGAGTTATTAAATGTGAAACAGAAGCACAAGAAATCAACTCTTAAACGTAAAATTTTAAAGTTTTTACCAAAGATTTTAATGAATTCTATTCAAATGACACCTTAATATTTGATTCTTCACTTGTTAGATCGAACTTTTTATTAAATCCCTTTGAAATGACATTAACCATGAATACATTATAACATTGAATAACATTAACAGTTAGTAGAATTGAGAAATAATTAAATGGAATCACACATAATTTAAGGAAATTTGTAAAATTATGGACATTATGAGGTACAATAGTTTCGTGCAAGCAACTAACTCGGTGACCTACTGACCTGCATGGACTCGCATTATCTCTCCCACGTTTCAGCCATTCTACTATCACTAGAATTCTTTTTGGTCGTCTCTCACTAGATCTTATTCACACAAAAAATCATTTTTATACCTTTTGAACAATAATAAAGTTTATACTATATCGCATTGGAGCCAGGACTTGTACTTTAAAAGTTAAGAAGATTAGTTAACTCAAGAGGTTAGAGAAAATGCGATCGGGACAATGTTTGTTTTAAAAATTAGCCTTTGTATTTGAAAGTTGGGTATAAATGCAATTATTTATGAAATTATAAAAAAATCTGAATGCAGCAAAATGTATCAAATCCAAAACATCTTTTGAGTTTGTGAGTCAAATATAAAACCCATTGTAATAGATGGATATGTGTTATTTTAAAAGACGCAAGTAAAAAGAAATTCTCTGAAGTAATCATCTGGATGGTCCTATCTGCGAAAACTCATTTGCTTCCCTCTACATAGCATCACGACAGCACCGCTGGCCCCTTGGATCCTGTGGAACCTATGGACAATTGGACAGCAAGAAACAACCTAGTTTTTAGCAATAAGGAGTACAAGAGTTGATGTGGACATCAGTAATGATCATACAACATTAGACAAGGAGAAGCATCCCAAAATCAAACCGGATCTAAGCTTAATTGTAGCTGAGGAACAAATGAAGTTTGTAACTGCTTACAAGGAGAATAAGGACCTAAGATCTAAAAGTCATTGTTCCAGCCATCAAGGAGAGCATTCTGATTGAGCCAAGACATCCCTGATTCATTTTAAAATGCAAGAAGATAAAGCTAAACCACCAGGACCACTCATTCGCATATATTGACCAACTTATGCTTCCTCAAGTCCATATATGGAAACCTTGGATTCATTTCTCCTCCACAACTCTTATGTGCATTCCTTGGTGTTAACGGAAGATATCAAAGACAACAAGCCAGCAAACCAAGTCAATAACCGAGCCCAATCATGTCAAACCAAAGGAGGATCCGCCATAAAGAAGCTTTCCTTTCTTAGAGATGATTTCATTGCTTTCAAAGGAAAGGAAAGCTAAGACCAACAACCACTTTACCTAAAGATCCCCCCCCCCCCCTGAACGTCCATACAAGATAAAGTCAAAGAATCATTCCCTTTTATTACACAAATAAAGTCATTCCCCCAATCAAGCTTAACAGCTAGTTCACAAATATCAAGTCCAACTTATGCTTTGTTTTTAATCACTTTACCATTTTATATCTTTCATTTGAGTATTATCTAAAGCTCTAACATCTTTGTATTTCGAACACACAACTTATTTGAATCAAAAACTTTTTTTTGCTTTTCTAAAGTCTTCTTTAAAAACAATTTATCTTTACGAGTTTTTAAGTTCTTTGTAGAATTATAATGGTTACAAAATCGTGAAGAATCTAGGAGCTCATGCAAAGAATAGCTTTTGGAGAATAGAGTCTCAAATCGTTGTTTTTGGAATTAATCAACAAACCAGTTACATTCATTATTCAACAGTTACATTCATCATTCAACCTCACCATCAACTAGCTTCAAGATCTTGATTCAAGTGTGTTAAGTTTGATGGAATCCATTTTTATATCATTGGTATCAGAGTCAGGTTCGATGATATAAGAATAGATTCCTCTAAACTTAACACACTCGAATCAAAACCTTCAAAAGCTAGAAAAGAAGCAAACTCTATAGCCAATGGATTGGCCAAACAAGCTTTAACTCTGTTTGTCCCAAGCCTATTTTGAATTTAATCAAACCAAAAATTTGGCCCAAACAAAAATTAAGCTAAGTAATTTTTTTAAATAACTACAGTTCAAAAGAAAAAAAAAATTAAGATAACTATTAGCCATCGATTTACCATTTTAAAGTAACATAGATCTATACTTTTTTCAACATAGAGCATAGATTGTCGATTTTTTTTTATGGCTTGACCGCTTGAGAAAAGAAAAACAAAACAAAACTAAATGAAGCTGTCGTTTTTTACTTGGCCTCGGGCCTTCGAATCGTTTGGCACCGCCTTGTGATGTTCCATTACATGGACTTACATATATATATATATATATATTTTTTTTTGACTGCGCATGGACTTACATTTTAACGAACAAACAAAATCCATTTTAGTGTTAACAAGATAAGTGGAGGAGACCTTCTTTGCAGAACAATATTTTTCTTTTGTCGAGAAAAGGTAGATAATGGAAAAAATGCGAATTTACCCAATAATTAAAGTTCGGGTTAACTAGATTGTGAAAATGCAAAAATATACTGAAAACATAGTTTATTTTAAAATTTTAAGCACCTAATGTATATATATATATATATTATTTCAGTCACTCAAATTATTATAAAAAGTCAATTAAAAGTGATCATATATATAGAATATATATATATATATATTACAACCTCACCTTATATATATCTATACTATAAAAGATGGCTAACTCTCTCCATATGAGTGCCACCTCATTATTTTGGTTTATTATAAAAATGATATGTGTCATTTTTTAAAATTTAATGATATAAATTATATAAAATTTAATGTATTATTAATCATAATACTAAAAGAATATGAAAAATATGAAGTATTGGATAATATATTTTAATAACAATAATATGCTTAATATTAAAAAAAATTATATTTCTTATTTAAGAGTGTTTCTTATTTTTAATTAATATTATAAGTTATTATTATAAAAAAAATTATATAAATATAAAAATAACAATTATTTTGAAACTAAAAAAGTTAGAAAAAATGTATACAATATTATAATAAACTTTAAAACAATTTCTTTATAAACTAATAACTATTTGATAATTTATTTCATTCAAAATTGATCCATTAATAATTTTTAAATTAATAAGATATCAAAGTCCTAATATATTTATTTATAAAATATTTAATGCAGCTGTATAAATTAGAATTATAAATCAATTATTTAGGCTAATAAAAATATAAAACGATGGT